CGTGGCCATGATGATGTCATGAGCCAGTGGAGGATTTTGTCAACCGACCGTTGACCCCATGACCCAACCGTTGGCCCCAACACCCAATGGATGGCCCCAACACCCAATGGATGACTCCATGACCCAACCATTGACCCCAACACCCAACCATTGACCCCAACACCCAACCAATGACCCCAACATCCAATGGATGACCCCAACACCCAACCATTGACCCCAACACCCAATGGATGACTCCATGACCCAACCAATGACCTCAACATCCAACCATTGACCCCAACACCCAACCATTGACCTCAACACCCAACCATTGACCCCAACACCCAACCATTGACCTCAACACCCAACCATTGACCCCAACACCCAACCATTGACCCCAACACCCAACCATTGACTCCAACACCCAACCAATGACCCCAACACCCAATGGATGACTCCATGACCCAACCATTGACCTCAACACCCAACCAATGACCCCAACACCCAACCATTGACCCCACAGTGACAAGACTCCAACTCAGCTGCCCCAGGGCCACCACTAAGGGCCGGCTGGGTGCCGGACGCGACAGTGGGTGACCACCACCGCTTTAGGGCCACCAGCGGGGAGGGGACAGAGGTGACCCGGGGGTGACCCAGGGGTGGCAGTGAGGTGACAATGAGGTGACAATGAGGTGATGCTCACCCTCCCAGGGGCAGCCGTAGAGCTCCAGGCGCAGGCAGACGCTCATGGCGCGCGGCGCCCGCGGGTACACCCGGAGCGCCCGGGCCACCGGCGCCGGGGACAGGTCCTTGAGCACCACGCCCTCGGGGTCCTCGTTGCCACCGATCACCTGCGGGGCCACCACCCACGGGTGGCGTCAGCCCAGGACACCCCGGGAACTTCTTGGGCTCTGTCACAGCCAGAGGTCTCCCGGGGCCTCCTTGATGGCCTCAGCACCACGATGTCCCCAGGGTGTCCCCAAGGTGTCCCCAGGGTGTCCCCGAGGTGTCCCCAGGATGTCCCCGAGGTGTCCCCGAGGTGTCCCTGAGGTGTCCCCTAGGTCCCTGATGTCCCCAATATCCCTCCAACCCCCCCAAACCCCATTGATGTCCCCAAATCCCCTCGACCTCCCCAATGTCCCCAAATACCCCAATTTCCCCAAACCCCCTCAACATCCCTGATGTCCCCAATGTCCCCAAACCCCCTCAACACTCCCAATGTCCCCAATGTCCCCAAACCCCCTTGACTTGCCTGATGTCCTCCAAAGTCCCCAAACCACCTTGATGTCCCCAATGTCCCCAAAGCCTCCCGGTGTCCCCAAACCCCCTCAATGTCCCCAACATCCCCAAAGCCCCCAATGTCCCCAAACCCCCTCGATGTCCCCAAATCCCCTGTTGTCCCCAGATCCACCTCGTGTCCCCAGCGGTCCCTCCAGCGCAGCCAGCGGCGCCGGTCGCGGCTGTAGCGCAGCCGGTACTGCCGTGCGAACTCGCGGCCGTGTCCCCCCGCGTGGCGTCCCTGCGTCCCCACCAGTGTCACCACGTGCAGCCGGCCCAGGTCCACCTCCAGGAACTCCTGCTCGGCCGGGAACACCGGCCCCGCCGGGCACCAGGCGCCGTCGCCGTCGCTGCGGCCCAGCCTGGGGACAGCCGGGGACGTTTGGGGGCGTTTGGGGACACTTGGGGACGTTTGGGGACATTTGGGGACACCCGGGGACGTTTGGGGACGTTTGGGGACGTTTGGGGGTGTTTGGGGACATTTGGGGACACCCGGGGACGTTTGGGGACGTTTGGGGGCGTTTGGGGACATTTGGGGACATCTGGGGATGTCTGGGGACGTTTGCGATGTAGGAAAAGTCGAGGAATTTGGGGATATTTTGGGGTTTGGGGGCATCCAGGGGACACTTGGGGACACTCGGGGCAGTGGGGTAGGACCCCTACTGGTCTATACTGGTCTGTACTGGTTTATACTGGTTTAAACTGGTTTGTACTGGTTCGTACTGGTGCGTACCGGCCGTGGCGGGCGGCGGTGGAGTCGGACCAGGCGCTGGAGGCCGAGAGGCGAAAGTCGGGGATGGTCCCGTCCTGCATGCCCAGAGCGAAGCGGCAGCGGCCTGGGGACAGCAGAGGGGACACTGGGGACATTGGGGACACCAGGGGGACACTGGGGACATTGGGGACACTGGGGACAGCCAGGGGACACTGGGGACATTGGGGACAGCAGAGGGGACACTGGGGACAGCCAGGGGACACTGGGGACACTGGGGACACTGGGGACATTGGGGACATTGGGGACAGCCAGGGGACATTGGGGACACTGGGGACACTGGGGACACTGGGGACAGCAGAGGGGACACTGGGGACACCAGGGGGACACTGGGGACACTGGGGACACTGGGGACATTGGGGACACTGGGGACACTGGGGACACTGGGGACATTGGGGACAACCAGGGGACACTGGGGACACTGGGGACAGCCAGGGGGACACTGGGGACACTGGGGACACTGGGGACACTGGGGACAGCCAGGGGACATTGGGGACACTGGGGACAACCAGGGGACACTGGGGACATTGGGGACACCAGGGAGACACTGGGGACATTGGGGACAGTGGTGCCATCAAGGGGGATTTGGGGACATTGGGGGGATTGGGGACAGTGAGGGGACAATGGGGACACTGGGGGAGATTTGGGACACTGGGGACATCGGGGACATTTGGGGACACCTGAGGACATTTGGGGACATTGGGGACACTGGGGACCTTTGGGGACAGCGGTGGCCGCGGGGTCACTCACCCAGGTCCAGCGCTGTCCCCAATGTCCCCCGCGAGGTCCCCTCGGCCACCCCGGCCAGCAGCAGGAGGGGGAGGGGCAGCGGCAGCGCCGCCATGGCCCCGCCCCCAGCCCGAGGGACTGGGAGCACTGGGAGGAACTGGGAATGAACTGGGAGGGACTGGGATGGACTGGGAATGAACTGGGATGGACTGGGATGGACTGGGAGGAACTGGGAATGAACTGGGAGGGAACTGGGAATGAACTGGGAGGAACTGTGAGGGACTGGGAGAGACTGGGAATGGACTGGGATGGACTGGGAGGAACTGGGATGGACTGGGATGGACTGGGAATAAACTGGCAATGAACTGGGAATGAACTGGGAGGAACAGGGAAGAACTGGGAGTGAACTGGGAGGGAACTGGGATGAACTGGGAGGAACTGGGAATGAACTGGGAATGAACTGGGAATGAACTGGGATGAACTGGGAATGAACTGGGATGAACTGGGAATGAACTGGGAATGAACTGGCAATGAACTGGGAATGAACTGGGAGGAACTGGGAGGGACTGGGAGAGACCGGGAATGGACTGGGATGGACTGGGATGAACTGGGAGGGAACTGGGAGGAACTGGGAGGGAACTGGGAGGAACTGGGAGGGAACTGGGAGGAACTGGGAATGAACTGGGGGGAACTGGGAATGAACTGGGAGGAACTGGGAGGGAACTGGGAGGAACTGGGATGAACTGGGAGGAACTGGGAGGGAACTGGGAGGAACTGGGAGGAACTGGGAGGGAACTGGGAGGAACTGGGAGGAACTGGGAGGGAACTGGGAGGAACTGGGAGGAACTGGGATGGACTGGGAGGGGACTGGGAGCACTGGGAGCCCCCCCCAGCCCAGCAGCTGCTCCCAGAATCCTTTGCTGGAATTTCCCCCTTCCCCCCTCCCCCCACAACAGCTGCAGAGGGGGCGTGGCCTCTGAGTGACCCCACCCCTTCATTTGCATAAAGATGAATATTCACCAAACCCCTTTAAAACCACCCGGGGCGGACAAAATGGGCCCCAAATGTCCCCAAAATCCCCCCGAAATTCCCCCAAAAAATCCCCAAAATTTCCCCCGAGCTCCCCAAATCCCTCCCCCAAAATTCTCAAAATTCCCCCAGACCCCCCAAATTCCCAAAAATCCCAAACATTCCTCCATATTCCCCCCGAATCCCCCAAATTCCCCCAATTTCCAAGAGTTCCCCCCAAATTTCCCCTAAATCCCCCCCAGTTCCCGCGAAATCCCCCCAAAAATCCCAAATTTACCCTAAATCCCCCAAATTCCCTCCAAAATTCTCCCAAAATCTCCCCAAATACCCCCAAACTTGCCCCAATTCGCCCCAAATTCCCAATTTCCCCCCAAAATTCCCCCAAAACCCCCCAAAACTCCCCCCAATTCGCCAAACATTCCCAAATTTCCCCCAGAATCCCCAAATCACCCCAAACTCCCCCAATTTAAAAAAAAAAAAATTCCCCCCAAATTCTCCCCAAATTTCCCCCAGTTCCAAAAAAAACCCCCAAAATTCCCGAATTTTCCTGGAAAATTCCCTAATGCCCCCCAAATTCCCCACAATTCCCAAAAAAATCCCCCCAAATTCCCCCCAAACTCCCAAAATTTCTCCTAAATCCCCCCAAATTCCCCCCCATTCCCCCCAACACCCCCAAACTTCCCAAATTTCTCCCCAAAATTCCCAAATTTTCCCCAAATTCCCAAATCCCCCGTGCCCGGTGCCCACCGCTCTCCTCGGCTCCTCCCGGTCGCTCCCAAATCCCCCCCGGATCCTCCCAAAATCCCCCAAAATTCCCGGACCTCCCCCCGGGGGGGCTCCAGGGGGGCTCTGGACTCCGAACATTCCCCCAAAAACACTCCAAAAAAAAGTGGGGAAATTCCCACAATTCCGATTGTTTTTTGAGGGGTAAACCCCCCAAAATTCCGATTAATTGGGAGCTTTATATTCCCAAATTCCCCTGAATTCCCATTTTTTGTTCATCCTTTTATCCCCAAAATTCCCGTTTTGGGGAATTGTTATTCCCGAAATTCCCATTTTCCCACCCCCAAAATTCCCGTTTTCCCCCCTTCATCCTCCCCCCCCCCCAAGTTCCCATTTCCCCCCCAAAAATTCCCATTTCCCCCAAAAAAATCCCATTCCCCCCAAAAAATTCCCATTTTTTCCCCAAAATTCCCATTTTTTCTCCCAAAATCCCCCTTTCCCCCCAAAATTGCTGTTTTTTCCAGGTTCCCCCACAAAATCCCTGTTTTTTCCATTTTTATCCCAAAATTCCCATTTTCCCCCAGAAATTCCTGTTCTTTCCATTTTTTCCCCCGAATTCCCATTTTCCATTTGTATCCCAAAATTCCCATTTTTATCCCAAAATTCTCATTTTTATCCCAAAATTCCCATTTTTTTCCTCAAAATTCCCATTTCCTCCATTTTTATCCCAAAATTCCCATTTTTATCCCCAAATTCCCGTTTTCCCCCTTTTATTCCCATTTTCCCCCCAGGCCGGGTCACGTGACCGCGCAGCTGCCGCCCCTCCCCCCCCCGGGGCCGCTCCCGGGAACAGCTGGAAAAGGGGGGAGGGGAAACTCCGGGGTTTGTTAATTAATAACTAATTAATATGCATAACTGCTTCATTAGCCATTGCTGTCAGTAGTTATCAGTCGTTATTAGCCATTGTTGCCCAATTATTCATCATTATTTTGTAATTATTAGTGATTATTAGTGGTTATTAGCGATTATTAGCCATTATTGCCCAATTATTGATCATTATTTTGTAATTATTAGTCATTATTAGTTATCATAAATCATTATTTCCTAATTATTATTCATTATTTCCTAATTATTAGTGATTCTTAGTTATTATTAGCCATTATTTCCCAATTATTAGTCATTATTCATAATTATTAGCCATTATTTCCTAAGTATTCGTAATAATTAGTAATTATTTCCCAATATTTATCATTATCTCCTAATTATCAGTCATTAGTCATCATTATTTTCTAATTGTAATTATTTTCTAATTAGTAATCATTATTCCTGATTCTTAATAATTATTTCCCTACTATTAATCATTATTCATCACAAATAATTATTCCTTCGTAATTAATAATGATTATTTCCTATTGTTAGCCGTTATTAGCCCAAATAACTAGCAATCATTTTTCATAATTATCCATTAATTATTAATTTTTAGCCATAATTTCCCATTAATTACCAATTATTAGCCATCACTCCAAACAAACCACGCCTCCTCATTTGCATAACCCCACCCCTCGTTACACCCACACGTCAATCATCCTCATAGCCCCGCCCCTTCCCGCCGCATCCTCACCCCAAACCCCGCCTTCCTCTCCTTTCCACCAATCAGCGCTGTCGCTGGGTAGAACCGACCAATCAGCGTTGTCGCCTGGGGAGAACAACCAATCAGCGTTGTATCCGCGCGGGGTGGGGGCGTGGCCTGGCTGCCGTGAGGGGGAGGTGGCGGCGCCATTTTAGAGGCGAGCGGGGCAGGGGTGGATGGGGGACCTATGGGGGATCTATAGGGGATTTATGGCGATCTATAGGGGATCTGTGGGGGCGGGCTGGGTCCCGAGTGGGGCTGGGGGCTTCTCGGGAGGGTTCTGGGGGGTTTGGGGGCGTTTAAAGGGGTTTAAGGGGGTTTGGGGGGGGTGTATGGAATGGGGGGGGGCTGTGGGGGGGCGAGGCCTGGCTGGGATTTATGGGGGATCTATAGGGGATTTATAGAGGATCTATGGGGGATCTATAGGGGATTTATGGGGGATTTATAGGGGCTTTATGGGGGGTCTATAGGGGATTTATGGGGAGTCTGTGGGGGATTTATGGGGGGGTCTATAGGGGATTTATGGGGAGTCTGTGGGGGATTTCTAGGGGATCTATAGGGGAGGGGATCTGGGGAGTATCCGGAGTGGTTTCTGGGGATATCCGAAACCTATACGGCTATAGGGGATTTGGGGGAGGGTTCGAGGGGTCTATAGGGGATTTTTGGGGGTGGTTGAGTCCTATATGGCAACTATGGGGTCTATAGGGGATTTTGGGGGGTGTTGGGCCCTATATGGGACCTATGGGGGGCATTTTTGGGGTCTGTAGGGGATTTTTGGGGGTGGTTGGGTCCTATATGGCACCTATGGGGTCTATAGGGGATTTTGGGGGGTGTTGGGCCCTATATGGGACCTATGGGGGGCATTTTTGGGATCTATTGGGGATTTTGGGGGTCCATAGGAGATTTTTCGGGGGGGATTTTGGGGTCTATAGGGGATATTTGCAGTCTATAGGGGATGTTTGGGGAGGGATTTGAGCCCTATATGGGACCTATGGGAGGGTATTTATGGGGTCTATAGGGGATTTTTGGGGGGGTTGGGCGCTATATGGGACCTATGGGGGGATTTTTGGGTCCGTAGGGGATTTTGGGGGGTGTTGGGCCCTATATGGGACCTGTGGGGGGCATTTTTGGGGTCTATAGGGGATTTTTGGGGTGGGATTTGGGCCCTATATGGGACCTGTGGGGTCTGTAGGGGATTTGGGGGTGGATTTTGGGGTCTGTATGGGATCTATGGGGTCTATAGGGGACATTTGGGGTCTGTGGGTGCCGCCCAGCCCCGCCTGGGGCTCCTTTGGGGGGATCTATAGGGGATCAGTGGGGGGATCCATTGGCGATTCCCTGGGGGATCTATAGGGGATTTATAGGGGATTCCCTGGGGGATTCTGTGGAGGATCTATAGGGGATTCCCTGGGGGGATTTATGGGGGATCTACAGGGGATTCTATGGAGGATCCATAGGGGATTTATGGGGGATCCATAGGGGATTCCCTGGGGGATTCTGTGGAGGATCTATAGGGGATCCCTGGGGGATTTATGGGGGATCTACAGGGGATTCTATGGAGGATCCATAGGGGATTTATGGGGGATCCATAGGGGATTCCCTGGGGGATTCTGTGGAGGATCTATAGGGGATCCCTGGGGGATTTATGGGGGATCTATAGGGGATTCCCTGGGGGATTTATGGGGGATCCATAGGGGATTTATGGGGGATCTATAGGGGATTTATGGGGGATCTATAGGGGATTCCCTGGGGGATTTATGGGGGATCCATAGGGGATCCACACTTGATCTATGGGGAGCCTATAGGGGATCTATAAGAGATGCACTGGGGCTCTATAGGGGATCCATGGGGATCCATAGGGGATCCATAGGGTGTCCATAGGCGCCGCCCAGGCCCCGCCGGGGGGCGCTGTCCCGTGCGCTGCCCCGGGGGGCCGAGGCCAGAGCAAGGCCGGGCCCAACCTACGGCCGGGGCCGTATGGATCCTATAGGGGAACCCCTCTGTGGGGCTGCCCCGGGGTCCGGCACGGCCCCGGCACACGCCGGCCCCTACACGCCATCCTATAGATCCTATAGATCCTATAGGGGATCCTATAGATCCTATAGGGGATCCGGCACACGCCGGCCCCTACACGCCATCCTATAGATCCTATAGATCCTATAGGGGATCCTATAGATCCTATAGGGGATCTGGCACACGCCGGCCCTTACACGCCATCCTATAGATCCTATAGATCCTATAGGGGATCCGGCACACGCCGGCCCCTACACGCCGTCCTATAGATCCTATAGGGGATTATCCTATAGATCCTATAGGGGATCCTATAGATCCTATACGGGATCCGGCACACGCCGGCCCCTACACGCCATTCTATAGATCCTATAGATCCTATGGGGGATCCTATAGATCCTATAGGGGATCCTGTAAGGGATCCCAAATCCCCTATGGAAAATCCCGAATCCCCCATGGAAAATCCCGAACCCCCTATGGAAATGCCCTATGGAGGAATCGGGTCCCTCGGGACGGAGCCGCGGAGCAGAGCTCAGGTGAGGGAAAAAACGGGAATTTTGGGGGGAAAAACGGGAATTTTTTTGGGAAAAAATCCGGGAATTTGGGGGGGGAAATGCGGGAATTTGGGGGAAAAAACCGGAATTTTGGGAAAAAATGAAATTTGGGGGAAAAAATCAGGGGATTTGAGGGAAAAATGCAAATTTTGGGAATAAAATCCTGAAATCTGGGGAGAAAATAGAAATTTTGGGAATAAAAATCCAGGAATTTTGGGGAAAAAAAATCGGGATCTATGGGGAAAAATCCGGGAATTTTGAGGGGAAAAAATGGATCTTAGGGGGAAAATCTGGGAATCTGAGGGAAAAAAATTGGAGTTTGGGGGAAAATTGAAATTTTTGGGGATATTTTGGGAATTTTGGGAGATACTTCTGGGGATAGTTTGGGAATATTTTTGGGGATATTTTGGGAATATTTTTGGAGATATTTTGGGAATTTTTGGAGATACTTCTGGGGATATTTTGGGGATTTTTTGGGGGATATTTTGGGATATTTTGGGAATATTTTGGGAATGTTTCAGGTCCCTCCCACAAAGGCGTGGGCGCCTCCCGTGGCCGCCCCACGTAAGAGCCGGAGGCAGAAAATTGGGGCAAAATTCCCAGAATTTGGGAAATTCCCGAAATTCCCAAGGGAACGACCCCGGGAACGGAGCCCGACAGAGACCGGGGGAGAAGGGGAAATTTGGGAAGGAATTTTTTGGGAATTTTTGGGATGAAATTTGGGAATTTTGGGGTCTCTCTCTCTCCCCCTGCAGGTCACGGCCACCGAGAGACAAAATCCGGAGCAAAAATAGAATTTTGGGGCTTTTTTGGGTTTTTTTGGGGAATTTTTGAGCCTTTTTTGGGGAATATTTGGGATTTTTTTGGGATTTTTTCTCCCCCTTTTTTTACTGATTTAATTTTTTTTTTAAATTTTTTTTTGTTGTTTTTTTTGAGCGTTTAAAGGATTGTTTATTAATTTTGGAGCCTTTTTTCTATTTTTTTTTTCTTTTTCGAGGTTTTTTTTTTTATCTTTTGGGGACAATTTTCCATCTTTAAATAAAAATTCCTCATTCCTGTGCATTTCTTTCCTTCCAATAAACATGAATAAAGATTTAGCATTTAAATTTATTTAAATGAATTCTTTCTTTCCTCCCCAAATACTCCCAATTTCCCCCCAAAAATATTCCTTTTTTTTCCCCATAAAATTCCTGATTTCTCTCCCAAAAAATCTCAATTCTTGTCTGACAAAATTCCCATTTTCCCCCCAAAATTCTCAGGGTTTTCCCCAAAAATTCCCATCTTTTCTCCCCAAAATTTCCCTCTTCCCCCCCACCCTAAAATCCCCTCCAAATTCCAGGTTCGTTCCCAAGAAAAATTCCGGATTTCCCCCCCAGAAATCCCAATTTTTTCCCCACAACCTCACCCTTTTCTCCCCCAAAAAAAATCCAGTTTTTCCCAAAAAAAAAAATTATATTTTTTTTCCCCCAAAAATTCCCATTCTCCCCCCAAAACCTCCCAATTATCCCCCCAAAAATTCCCCTTTTTCTCCCTATAAAATTCCTGATTTCCCCCAAAAATTCCCGATTATTTCCCCCACAACCTCACCATTTTCTCCCAAAAAAATTCAGTATTTTCTGCAAAAAAAGTTCCATTTTTTCCCAAAAAAATCCCATTTTCCCCCCAAAACCTCCCAGTTATCCCCCGCAAAAATTCCCCTTTTTCTCCCCATAAAATTCCCGATTCCTCCCCAAAAATTCCCGCCTTTTGCCCAAAAATATTCCCGGTTTTTCCCCCTCTTTTCCCGCGTTTTTTTTCCCGGGAATGACGCGAGCCCCGTGACTCAAATGGCGGGAATTTCCCAGCGGGGCGTGGCCTCCGCCTAAACCACGCCCCCTTCCCCTCTCCGCCAATCACATCGCGCCGTGGGCGTGGCCGCCGCCCGCCGCTATAACCGCGGGGCCGCGGGTTCGAATCCCGACGTCTCCCTCGCCATGTCCGTGGTGGTGGCGGCGGTCGCGGCCACCGCGCGGTGCCCGGGCCGGGTCTGGGGACATCCCGAGGGTGTCCCCGGGGCGGTGGCACCGTCCCCACCTCGGCACTTCACCTTCGAGCCGCTCCCGCCGCCCCCCGGCCCCTCCCGGCCTCGGCGGCGACATCGCCGCGTTCTTTATCCGCCCGCTGTGAGTATGGCTGGGATTTTTTGGGGGGGGTCTTCACCCGAATTTAGAGGTTTTGGGGTGATTTGGGTCATCCTATATCCGTCATGTCGCCTGTAGATACCAGGAGTCACTTCTAGCCACGCCTAAACCCCCCCTGAACTCGCCCAAAACTTCAGAACTTTGCCCCAAACTTCCTCCAGATTCGCCTCAAACTTCGAAAATTTCCCCCAAACTCGCCCTAAGCTTCGAAAATTCGCCCTAAACTTTGCCCAGACTCGCCCCGATCCCCCTGAAAATGGCCCTGAACCCCCTCAAATCTGCCCTCAACTTCTCCAAATTCGCCCGGAACTTCTCAAACTCGTCCTAAACTTCCCAAATTCGCCCTAAAACCCCCAAATTCGCCCTAAACCCCCCCAAACTCGCCCTAAAGTCCTCCAAATTCCTCCTGAACTGCCCCAAACTCGCCTTAAACGTCACCAAATTCGCCCCAACCCCCCTCAAACTCGCCCTGAACCCCTCCAAATTCACCCAAAACTTGCCCAAATTCTCCCTAAACCCCCCCAAACTCGCCCTAACGCCCCCCAGGCGCCCTCAAACCCCCTCCACCCCCCAAATTCCCCCCAAATCCCCCGAACCCCTCCCAAATCCCAAATTCCCGGAATTCCCCGCAGGGTGGGGGAGGCTGAGTCACTTCCACTCCTCCGCTCTGACTCAGCCCGGCGCCCTCGGGGCCGGATTTGGGCCCCTCCCCGCCGAGTTCTCTGCTCCAGGTTGGGATTTATGTACCCAAAAACCGAGGGAATTTTATCCCAAAATGGGATTTATTTGCCCAAAATTGGAATTATTTACCCCAGGGGAGTTAATTCCCCAAACCCGTTAGTGAACCGCCCAGGTTGGATGGGTTCCCCAGCCTGACTAGGGGAATATTTAGCCCAAAAAAGGGTTTTTTTTCCCCAAAAAATGTCCTGATTAGGATTTATTTGCCCCAAAACAGGTTATTTCATCCCGGATTGGGAGTTATTTACCCCAAAATAGGAATTATTTACCCCAGGGGAGTTAATTCCCCCAAACCCGTTAATGAACCGCCCAGGTTGGATGGGTTCCCCAGCCTGACTAGGGGAATATTTAGCCCAAAAAAGGGTTTTTTTCCCTCAAAATCCCCTGATTAGGGTTTATTTTCCCCAAAACAGGTTATTTCATCCCAGATTGGGAGTTATTTACCCCAAAATAGGAATTATTTACCCCAAACAAAGGAGGGTTAACTCCCCTAACCCCTTTTCGAAGCTAAGCAGGGTCCGCCCTGGTCACCCCTTGGATGGGTTCCCCAGCCTGACTAGGGGAATATTTAGCCCAAAAAAGGGGTTTTTCCCCCCAAAATCCCCTGATTGTGATTTATTTGCCCCAAAACAGGTTATTTCATCCCGGATTGGGAGTTATTTACCCCAAAATAGGAATTATTTACCCCAGGGGAGTTAATTCCCCCAATCCTGTTAGTGAAGCTAAGCAGGGTCCGCCCGGGTCACCCCTTGGATGGGTTCCCCAACCCGCCCTTCCCCACCTCGAATCCCACCTCGGCGCCCTTTTCCCAACGGGAATTTTCCCAGGAATTCTCCCCTCCGGTTGATCCCCGAATTTTGGGATTAATTTCCTTTTTCCCCGTTGCAGGTTCGCCGCCCGCTGCCCTCGGAAGAGCCGAGCGCCGCCAAGCGCCTCCTGCTGCTGCTCCTGGCCGTGGTGAGCGCCCAAATCTACAGCGCGCCCGGCGACGCCGACGCCGCTTCGGGGGCCAGGACGGCCCTGGGGACACCCCCGGGGACACCCCCGGTCCTCGAGGGTCCCCAAATTCCCACCGGGAACGGGAACGGCACCGGGAACGGGAACGGCACCGGGAACGGGAACGGCACCGGGACTGCACCGGGCGGCCGTTTCTGCCCCGCGGCGCCGCTTCTGTCGCCCCCTGGTGGCGCTGCGGGGAACTGAACGACCCCCAAAACCCCTCCCGGGGGCGGCGCCCAAAAGTGCCACGCCCCCCTGGGCTAATTAACGAGGTCGTTAATTAAGGACCAAGAGATGGAAGAAGGCAGGATGCTGAACAATCCCAGGAGTGCCACGCCCCCCTGGACTAATTAACGAGGTCCTTAATTAAAGACGAAGAGATGGAAGTCCCAGGAGTGCCGCGCCGCCCTGGGCTGATTAACGAGGTCGTTAATTAAGGTTGAAGAGCTGGCGGCTGGATAATCCCAGTTTGGAACTGGGAGCACTGGGAAGGGGTCGAGCCATAGATTGAGATGGATTTTCCCATCCCTTAATTAATTAGCCGGTTGGTTAAACTCTAATTAATGACCAGCTCCTTAATTAGCTGCCATTAATTGAGGTGGGAACAAAGCCAACATTTGGATTTTGAGGTTCCTCCATCCTAGTTCGGAACTGGGAGCACTGGAAAAGGGTGTGGTCAGGACGGCCTCGTTAACGAGATTTTAACTAACGAGGTCACCTCTACCTCAGCTTCAGCGCCTGTGGGTGCTGAATTGGTTATTAATTATTTATTATAATTATTTATTTGTTATTTATTTCTTCTTATTGATTTGTTCTTATTTATTAATTATTTATTATTTATTTATTAATCCCCTCTGGGTGATTGATTGTGACTCAGTTTGGGGGGGATTTTTAATATTTTACCTAATTAAAGTCATCGAGTGAACTAATTTATAGGTGTTGTGTCTTAAATGGAATTTCCTGTGCTCAGAATGGGGGAAAATGGTGGAAAAATCCAAATTTTTGGGGCATTTTATCCCAAATTTTTATGAAAAATAATGAATAAATCCCAATTTTTGGCATTTTCAGCTCAAAGTCGGATTTTTATTGACCCGACTCTGAAAATACAAAGTCATAAAAGTAACAAAAGACCAAAAAAATTCAATTTTTCTTTAAAAAAAAAAGCTAAAAAAAGATTGGGAAAAACTCCAAAAAAATCAAAAGAAAATAAAATCTTTCTTCTCAAACCCACATTTGGTGCCACTCATGACCCAAATTTCCTTTTTTACCCCTAATTTTGAGGTTTTTTCCCCCTGAACTCGGTCATTTTTTTTTTCCCAAGTTTTTAAGCATTTTCCTAAAATTTTAATTTCCCCCCAATTTTTGAGTTTCTTTTCTGGAATTTTGAGGGTTTTCCCAAATTATTGGTGTTTTTTCCCCAATATCTGGGGTTTATTCAGGTTTTTTTTCCTATTTTTTTTCTGGTTTTCCCAAATTTTTTATGTTTTTCCTGATTTTTTTGTTTTTTTCCAAATTTCTGTTGTTTCTTCCAAATTTTTCATGGTTTTTTTTCCAATTTTTGCTTTTTTCTTTCCCCCCAAATTTAGGAGTGGGAGGTTAGGAAGAGCTCCCAGTGTTGGGTTGGCCAATCCCAGTTGAGCACTGGGAGGACTGGGAATGATGGGAATTCCCCGCCATCATTAATTAGCCAATTAATCATCCCCTAATTAATTTGAGGTCATTAATTTGCCATGAAAATTCAACGGCACCAACCCAAGGTTGGGTCTCGGGTTGGCCAACCCGTTGGGCACCGGGAGCACCGGGAACGCCGGGAACCGACCGGAGCCGTGCGATGATGGGAATTCCCCATTCCCACATGGAATTAATCAATTAAATCACCTCTAATTAATTAGGGATCGTTAACTGGGCACCGAATTGAACGGGAATAAACGGAGACCAAACCCAACGTTGGGTCTCGGGTTGGCCAAGCCCCGTTGGGCACCGGGAGCACCGGGAACGCCGGGAACCGAGCGGAACCGCGCCGACACCCCGCCTGCCCCTTAATGACCCAACCGGGCCCGGCCCTCGTTAACCACTGCGCTAATTACCCACCGGGAACCCCGGGAACGCGCGGCCCGGCAGCGCCAACGCCCAGGGCAGCTCCAGCGCCGTCGGCACGGCCGAGGAGCCCGGGAACGCCGGGAAGGCCAAACCGGGCGCCGCCGGCGCCGCCGGCACCAGGGAGGAGGAGGAGGAAGAGGAGGAGGAGAAGGAGGAGGAGGAAGAGGAGGACGAGGCGGCGGCGCCGGCCTTGCCGTGGGTGCGCTGGTGCCGGTTGAGGTGCGAGCTGCGGCTGAAGCACTTGCCGCACTCGCGGCACTTGTAGGGCTTCTCGCCGGTGTGGACGCGCCGGTGGATGGTGAGCTCGGAGCGCTGGATGAAGCTCTTGCCGCACTCGGCGCACTGGAAGGGTTTCTCGCCCAGGTGCGTGCGCTGGTGCGTCAGGAGGTTGGAGGAGACGCTGAAGCGCTTGCCGCACTCGCGGCACGCGTACGGCTTCTCGCCGGTGTGCATCCGGCGGTGGATGGTGAGGTCGGACTTCTGGATGAAGCCTTTGGCGCAATCCTGGCACTTGTAGGGTTTCTCGCCGGTGTGGATGCGCCGGTGCTTGACCAGCGCCGAGCGCTGCCCGAAGCTCTTCCCGCACTCCTGGCACTTGTACGGCTTCTCCGCCGCCGCCGCCGCCGCCTCCTCCGGCCGCCGCCCGCAATCCTGGCACAACCCCCGGCTTTTCCCGCAATCCAGGCATTTTGGCGACGCCGAACCGCCGGTGCCGCCGGCGGCGCCGCCGTGAGAGCGTTGGTGCTTCAGCAACGCCGCGCCCTGACCGAAACACCGCCCGCACTGCCCGCACTGGAAGAGCCGCCCGTTGCGGTGAGCCGCCAGGAACCCGGCCAGGTGCTCGGGGCAGCGGTAGGACGCGCGCTCGGCCGCGTGGATCTTGCGGTGCCGGTCCAGGTGGGAGCTGACGCTGAAGCGTTTGCCGCACTCGCCGCAGGCGTACGGCCGCTCGCCGGTGTGGACGCGCTGGTGCCGCTCCAGGTCGGAGCGTTGGATGAACCCTTTGCCGCAGTCGCCGCAGGCGAACGGCCGCTCGCCGGTGTGGATGCGCCGGTGCTGCGTCAGGTTGGAGCCGCGGCTGAAGCTCTTGCCGCAGTCGCCGCAGCGGTGCGGCCGCTCGCCCGTGTGCGTCTTGCGGTGCTTCGCCAACGCCGAGCGCTGCCCGAAGCTCTTCCCGCAATCCGGGCAGCGGTACGGCGCCGATTCCACCGCCGGCGGCGCCGTTTTGGTTCTGGCGCGGGGCTGCTCGGGCGGTCCCGGCCCGCCGGCGTGGGTGCGGCGGTGCCGGTCCAGGTGGGAGCTGACGCTGAAGCGTTTGCCGCAGTCGCCGCAGGCGTACGGCCGCTCGCCGGTGTGGACGCGCCGGTGCCGCTCCAGGTCGGAGCGTTGGATGAACCCTTTGCCGCAGTCGCCGCAGCGGTGCGGCCGCTCCCCGGTGTGGATGCGCCGGTGCTGCGCCAGGTTGGAGCCGCGGCTGAAGCCTTTGCCGCAGTCGCCGCAGCGGTGCGGTTTTTCCACCGCCGCCGCGCCGCCGCGTTCCGGCTGACGGCGGCGCCGGCCGCAGTCGGAGCAGCGCCGGGGCTGGGCTGCGCTTTTGCCGCACTCCGAGCAGCTGCCGGCGGGTTTTCGGTTCTTCCCGGCGGATGGAGGGTTGGGATCGGTCGGTGCCGGCGGTTCCTGGGTGGCCGCAGCGGTGGGATCGTCCTCGGAGCCGCTATCGGCGCCGGCACCTGCAGCGGGGTGGGAGAACCTGAACTGCACCCAAACTCCTCCAGGATTCCATGGGTTGGCTTGGCGTTGAGTGTTGACCATTGACCATTGACTTGTTGACCCCCAAAAATTCCGTCCCACCCAAATTTTTGCATGGAATTCCACGGGTTGGGTTGGCACCAGCTATTGACCTTGACCATGGATCCATCAACCCAAAAAGTCCCAAAAAGTCCCAAAAAATCCCAAATTTTTCCATGGAATTCCATGGGTTGGGTTGACCTTGACCTGGTTGACAGCCAAACCTTCTTCTCCACCCAAAATTCCCAAAAAACCCCACAAGATCTTCCATAAATTCCCTTTTGGATGCCCACACTGCCCCTTTTTTGGGAATTTTTTTGGGAAAGCCCCAAAACTCACCCCCATCTTTGGCCGTTCCCAAAAAACCCCACAAGATCTTCCAAAAATTCCATTCTGGATGCCCCCCAACACCGTTTTTTTTGGGAATTTCTGGGGAAAACCACCAAAACTCACCCCCATCTTTGGGCGTTCTCCTGCGGTTCCGGCGTTTTCCGGCCTGGCCCTGCTCCCGCACCAATTCCCGCAGGATTTTCTCCACGCGGCTCCTCCCGGCCGTCTGGAGGATCCGTCCCAGCTGCCGGCGCAGCTCCGGCTCTGCCCCTCCCCCATCGCCCGCGACCCCCGGCGGAACCGGCGGCGCCGGTGGGGGGGAGGGGTGGGGCAGGTCCCCCTCGGCTTCGGCCGCTGGAGAGGGGAAAAAAGGGGGAAAAACGTTGGGATTTGAGGAATTCCCAGAAATCTGAGAGGATTTGTGGGGGGTTTACAGAGGGATTCCTGAAAATCCCAAAGATTTTGGAGGAATTCCTGGAAATCCCAAAGATTTTGGAGGAATTCCTGGAAATCCCAAAGATTTTGGCCAAATGTTAAGGAAAATTTCTGAAAATCCCAAAGATTTCCATCAAATTTAAGGGATTCTCAAAATTTTAAGGAATTTAATCAAATTTGGGGAGAATTCCCTTGGTTGGGTTGGCCAACTGGAAGAGCCCAAACCCACTTTGGGTTGCGTTGGCCAACTGGAAGGCCCAATCCCCCCTTGGCCAAGCCCCGTTGGCCACCGTTGACTCACCGGCGCCCAGGCCGCGTCTCCGGTGCGATTCGGCGAAGGCGGTGATCCGCGGCCAACTGATGGCGATTTCCTCGGCTGCCGGGGCAAAAAACGGGAATTTTGGGAATTTCCAGAGTTCGTTTTCCCAGACCGGCTCCGTTTTGGGGTGAAATCCACAAATTTCGGGCAAATTTTGGTGATTTTTAAGAGAAAAAAACATTCCAGGGAAACTGCGGCAGCCAAATCCCAGCTGGAATTTTGGGGGCTCAAAAATTCAGAATTTTTTTGGGTATTGCCACTGGAAATCACCCAAAAAATCCAAAATTTTATCAAATTTCTGCCTTGGGGAATGCTCAAAATTTTTCCCAAAAAAATCCCAAAATTTCCCCCCAAAAAAATCCCAAAATTCTCCCCCCAAAATTCTCCACTAATAATTCCCCAAAAATTCCCAAAATTCCCGAATTTCGGGGTGGCCTTACCCAAGGAAATGACGTTCTCGTAGTTCTCCTGCATCTCCCCCAGAATCCCAAATCCGAGCCTGAAAAATCCCAAAAATCCCTATCAGGATCCCAAAATCCCAAATTTTGGGGCTTTTTTGGGAGCTGCTTCCCCATTTTTGGGGGGAATTTTGGGGTTATTTGGGAGAATTTTGGGATTATTTGGGGGAAATTTGGGTTTGATTTGGGGGAACTTTGGGGGATATCTTGGGAGAATTTTGGGGTGGATTTGGGAGAATTTTGGGGGATATATTGAGATAATTTTGGGGGGATTTTAGGGGAAATTTTAGGGTAATTTTCGGAGAATTTTGGGGTTATTTTCAGATTATTCGGGGGCATTTTTGGGAGGATTTGGGGGAATTTTTAGAGAAGATTTGTGGGGAATTTTGGGGTAATTTTTGGATTATTCGGGGGCATTTTTGGGAGGATTTGGGGGAATTTTTAGAGAAGATTTGTGGTGTAATTTTAGGATGATTTAAGGAGGAATTTTGGGATCATTTCGGGACAACTTGGGCTGGATTTTGGGACCATTTGGGGGGAATTTGGGACTTGCTGGTCCCTGCTGGGGGAGGGGGGATCAGCACGGGGTCCCCCCGGTTTGGGGATCCCGATCCCGAAACCGATCCCAATTCTGAAACCGATCCCAGTCCCGATCCCAGTCCCGATCCTGATCCCAGTCCGGACCCAATCCCAGACCAGATCCCAGCCCCGATCCCAGTACCGGTCCCGCTCCCGACCCGGTTCGAATCCCGCTCCGGACCCGCTCCCGTTCCCGACCCCGTTCTAATCCCGCCCCAATCTCGATCCCCGTCCCGGTCCCGGTCCCGATCCCGATCCCGATCCCGATCCCGATCCCGATCCCGCTCCGATCCCGCTCCAATCCTGGTCCCGGTCCCGACCCGGCTCTGATCCCGCTCCGATCCCGTTCTAATTCCGCTCCGATCCCGATCCCGATCCCGATCCCGGTCCCGGTCCCGGTCCCGATCCCGATCCCGATCCCGATCCCGATCGCGGTCCCGGTCCCGATCCCGATCCCGATCCCGATCCCGATCCCGATCCCGCTCCCGCTCCGATCCCGCTCCAATCCCGGTCCCGGTCCCGGTCCCGATCCCGCTCCAATCCCGGTCCCGGTCCCGACCCGGCTCTGATCCCGCTCCGATCCCGCTCCCGGTCCCGGTCCCGCTCCCGCTGGAGGCGGCTCCCGGCGTGACCCGGATACAGAGGAGCCGCCGCCTCCTCCCTCTCCCCTCCTCCTCCTCCTCCTCCTCCTCCTCCTCCTCCTCCTCCTCCTCCCCCCTTCCCTCCTCCTCCTCCTCCTCTTCCTCCTCCCTCCTCCCTCTCCCCCTCCCGCTCTTCCTCCTCCTCCTTTTCCCCTTCTTCCCCCTCCCCCTCGTCCAAAAACATCCCAGGGAATCGCCCCAGAAATTCCCAGGATGCTTCAAGAATTCCCCAAGATTTCCCCCCAAAAAATTCCCAAGATACCAAAAAAATATTCTCAAAGAATTCCCAAGGATTTGCCCCAGAAATTCCCAAAGTATTCCCAGAGATTTGCACCCAAAAATTCCCAAAATAACCCCAAAGAATTCCCAAATATTTGCCCCAAAAAATTCCCAAAACGTCCCCCAAAATTTCCAAGAGATGCCCCAAGAATTCCTGATTTTCCCAGGGATTATTCCCAGTTTTTCCCCCGATTTCATCTCCAAGGAAAAATTCTGGAATTCCTCGCTAAATCTAATTTTTATTCACATTACAAACAAAGAAGAGAACTCCAAAAAATCCAAAAAAACCGCCGGGAAAAGCCCCGGAATTCCCGCTTGGCCCCCACCCCGATCCAAGAGGATTTTTGGGATCAAATCCAATTTTTTCCCCCAATTTTCCATCCCGATTTCGGCATTTCCTTCCCGATTTTTCGGGATCTTCCTGTTGAATAAATACAATAAATTACGGAACCACCCGGAATTCCGGATTTTCCACAAAACCTCCGGATCGCGGCTTTCGCCCCCCCCAAAAAATCCCAAAAACCACCCAAAATTCCTGGATTTTCTCCAACTCCATCCCACGGATTTATTTTTTCCTGGGAAAACTCACACAGGGCGGGATTTTTTTCCGGAAAAAACGGAAATTCCATCTTTTTTTTCTGTATCTACCCTACTTTCCTACTCTACCCTACTCAAAACTACGGCCGGCGATGTCGGGAACGCTTCCCGCGGAAAAATTTCCCGAATTTTCTTTTCACCCTTCCGGCATTTCCTCCTCTTTGTGACTCCGGAGCTGCCTCCGGAGCTGGGATCCCGTCCCAAAATTCCGGCCGGGATCGTGGAGCCATCGGTGCTTGGCCAATGCTGACGGGTCTCCGAAGGTTCTTCCACATTCGGAGCAGGATTTTTGGGATTCCACCGAGGATTCCCCACTTTTTTGGGATTCCACCAAGGATTCCCCACTTTTTTGGGATTCCACCAAGGATTTCCCACTTTTTTGGGATTCCACCGAGGATTCCCCACTTTTTTGGGATTCCTTGTGGACCCGTTGATGCTTGGCCAACAATGAAGAATCAGCCAAGGATTCCCCACATTTTTGGGATTCCACCAAGGATTCCCCACTTTTCTGGAACTCCTCATGGACCCGTTGGTGCTTGGCCAACGCCGACGGATCGGCGAAGGATTTCCCGCACTCGCCGCAGCTTTTCCGGGCTCCGGCTCCGTGCGCTCGCTGGTGCTTCTGGAAGTGCAGGGTGGAATTAAAACTCTTCCCGCACTCGCCGCAGACGTGGGGCCGGCCCCCGGCGTGCGTCCGCTGGTGCCGGTAGAGGTGGGACGTCCTCCCGAAGCTCTTGCCGCACTCAGGACACTCGTAGGGTTTCTCGCCGGTGTGAATCCGCTGGTGCCGCTCCCAGTGGGAGCTCCAGGAGAAACTCTTCCCGCAGTCCCCGCACCGGTACGGCTTCTCGGCGCCGGGCCCGCCGTGGGAGCTGCGCCGGTGCCGCGCGTACTGCGAGCGCGCGCCGAAGCCTTTGCCGCACTCCTCGCAGCGGAACGGGCCCTCGCCCAGGTGGATGCGTTGGTGCTTCACCAACGCCGGCGCGTCGCCGAAGCTCTTGCGGCACAGCGAGCACTTGTAGGGCCGGACGCCGGTGTGCGTCCGTTGGTGCCGCTCGAAGTGGAGGATGCTGCCGAAACTGCGCCCGCAGTAGGTGCAGATGTAGGAGCGGCCGCCGGCGTGGCCGCGCTGGTGCCGGTAGAGGTGGGAACTCCTGGAGAAGCTCTTGCCGCACTCGGGGCACTCGTAGGGCTTCTCGCCGGTGTGAATGCGCTGGTGCCGAAGCCAATGGGAGCTCCAAGAGAAGCTCTTGCCGCAGTCGCCGCACCGGAAAGGCAAATCGCCGGTGTGGAGCCGCCGGTGCGTGGCCAACTCTTTGTTGCGCCGGAAACTCTTCCCGCACTCCTGACACGTGTAGGGAAGGCCACGTGGCTTTTCTGGCGCCGCCTCGGCGCTGCCGTGGCCGCGCTGGTGCCGGTAGAGGTTGGAGGAGACGTTGAAGCTCTTGCCGCAGTGGGCGCAGCGGAACGGCTTCTCGCCGGTGTGCGTCCGGCGGTGCTTGGAGAAGTGGGAGCTGCAGCTGAAGCTCTTGCCGCACTCGGCGCACTCGTAGCTCTTCTGGAGCACGATGATGCTCTTGAAGTTGGAGAAACTCTGCGACTTGGCGCTCCTCCCGCTCCGCCGGCCCTTCGCCGACGTGCCGGGGTCGATCTGCTGCACCACGGTCCAGCGCAGCGTCTCCCGCTCCGAGAGCTCGGCGCTCGCCAAGAGCGCGCCGGGCTCCAGCTCCACCACCTCCGGAGCGGCCGCCAGCGCCGGGTCCGAGTCCGGCGTTCCTGGGGTTCGGGAGAGGGGGAAAAGGGGGAATTCTGGGGGGTTTTCCCATTTTTTGTGGATTTTTAAATGGGGTTTTCCCGTTTTTTTTGGAATTTTCCCTATTTTTTACAGGGTTTTCCCATTTTTGTAGAATTTTTTTACAGGGTTTTCCCATTCTTGTGGAATTTTTAATGGGGTTTTCCCATTTTTTGCAGAATTTTCCCCATTTTTTACTGGGTTTTCCCATTTTTTGCAGAATTTTCCCCGTTTTTTTACTGGGTTTTCCCATTTTTGTGGAATTTTCCACATTTTTTACAGCATTCTCCCATTTCCCCCCCACCGCCACTTTTTATGGGACTTTTCCCCATTTTTTATGGGATTTCCCCCTGTTTTTTGTGGGATTTCCCCCCATTTTTATGGGATTTCTCCCATTTCCCATGGGATTTTATTCCACATTTATAATGGGATTTCCCCCCCATTTTTAGTGAGATTTCCCCCCATTTTTAATGGGATTTCCCCCCATTTTTGGTGGGTTTTCTCCCATTTCCCATGGGATTTTTTCCGCCGTTTCCCATGGGATTTTTTCCCACATTTTCACGGGATTTCCATGGGGATAGAAATGATCAATCCCATTAATTTTAATCTCAATTTTCCCCCTCAATTCCCTGATGAAATCCCATGGGAATGGGATTTTTGGGATAGGAAATGAGGGGGAAAAAAAAAAAAATCCCATTAATGGGAAAATAATGGAATTCCCACAGGATTTGGGGGCCGATTTCCATCGGGACTGAGGACACTGATTTATGGGATTTATGGGATTTATGGGATTTTCCCAAGGATCCTTCCTGAACTTACCCTGGATCCCGTTGGGGTCGTAGGGATCTTCCTCCCCCTCATCCCCAAAAATCACCTCCGGCTCCGGCTCCTCCTCATCCTCCTCTTCCTCCCCCCATGGATCCATCGCCCGCCCCGGGATCCTGGAAAATCCCAAAAACAAACAAACAGACAAAAAAATATTTCCAGATCTACAAATTCCCTCAAATTTCAGTCCCCCAAAAATCCCAGCCCCCCAAAAAAATTCCAGGAATGAAAGGATCCCCAAATTTCCATTTCTTCCAGGATTTAAAGACCCCAAATCCTCAAATTTTCCACGAATTAAAGACCCTAAATCCTCACATTTCCAGGAATTAGAGACCCCAGATTTTCTCCCAATAATTAAAGACCCCAAACCCCCAATTTTTCCAGGAAATTAAAGACCCCAAATCCCCATTTTCCTCAGAAATTCCACCATCCCCAAATCCCCATTTTCCCCAGGAATCAACGACCCCAAACCCCCAAATTTCCCAGGAATTAAAGACCCCCAAACCCCCCAAATTCCCAGAAATTCCACGACCCCAAATCCCCAAATTTTCTCCCAATAATTAAAGACCCCAAATCCCCAATTTTCCCAACAATTAAAGACCCCCAAATCCCCCAAATTTCCCAGGAATTCCACAACCCAAAACTCCCAATTTCCCCGGGAATCCCGACCCCAAATCTCCAAATTTCCCGGGAATTCCGGCCCCAACCCCCCCCCCCCCCAAATCCTCGCAATTCCCCTCCCCCACCCGCCCCTCCCCCCACCCCACCGGGACAAAGCCGCGACCTCTCCCCCTCCCCTCCCCCACCCCCCAAAAAAAAAAAATCCCCAAAAAAAGCGAAAAAATCCCCCCTACTCCAAACCCGCTCCCGTTTTCATTCCCCTCTTTTTTTCCACAATTTTTTCCCCTTTTCCCCCCATTTTTCCCCTTTTCCCCCGATTTTCTCCCTCTGGCGGCCGCCCCCCACCTTTGCTTTTTCCTGCCCCCCCTTTTTTTTCCCGATATCCCGGATTTTTGCCCTTTTTTTTTTTTTTTTTTCCCTTTTTTTTTTTGCTCCAACCCCTTCCTGTGTGTTCTGGGATCTGGAGCCGACGTGCAACACCCGCCCCTCCCCCCCTGCCTTTTTATTTTAATTATTTTTTTATTTTTTTCCCCCCATTTTTTTCCCAACCCCCCACTCCAAAATTCCAACCTTTATTTTATTTTTTTCCCCCCCAACTTCGCTCTTCCAGCTTTTCCTCCGGCATCCAGGTAATTTTTTTTTTTTTTAAATCCCCAAAATCCGCGATATTTTAACTCGGGGGAAAAAAAAAATTAAATAAGAATATCCTCACCCGACCGCGCCCCGTGATGGGAATAATTAAAAAAAAAAAAAATTAAAATATTTAAAAAACGGGGATTTCATCCCCTGAAATCCCCCTTTGGATTTTAACCCTTGCAATTCTCGGGTTTTTTTTCACCACCTCCCCCACTCCGGATCCGCTTTTTCTGCTCCAAAATTCCCGGTTTTTTGTGTTTTTTCTCTCTCCTCGCATCCCGGCCGAGATCCTCCTCCATTTTTCTGATTTTTTTTTCCGTTTTTAACCCGTATTTTCCATTTTTTTGGCCGTGATTTTCAGGGGTTTTCTCCCGCTATTTTTCCCTTTTTCCTTGTTTTTATTCCCCCTCTTTTTCCCGGTTTTTTTCCCCCCGTTTTTTTTCCCTTTCCCCCCTTCTTTCCCCGTTTTTTCCCCCATTTCCACCTTGTTCCCCCCTCCTTTTCAATTTTTAAATCTCCTTAAATTCCATCACCCCCCCCATATTAAAAAAAAAAATCCCTTTTTTTAACCCCTTCATTCCCTGCATTTTTATTTTCCATGGAAACCCCAAATCCTTCTCTAAACCCTTCCCAAAATTTGAAAAACCTGGATTAGGGTGGGAATTAAGGTGGGAATTTGGGGGGGGTGGGGGGGCCTTCCTTAAAATTCCTCAGTTCTCCCAGACCCAACTCCCCAAAATTCCCTAAGAATTCCCTAAAAATTCCTTTTAAAATTCCCTAAAAAAAATCCCCCCCCAAAAAATTTCCCAGACATGTGAAAACCCCAAATTTAAAGATTTTTTTCTCCCCCAAGATCCCAACATCGGAGCCGGAGCTGCTGGAATTCCAGGGATTTGGGATTTTTTTTCCCCAAAAAATTTGGGATAAACTCAGAATTCCGGGTGGAGATGCAGGAGAGCTACGAGAGCGTAATTTCCTTGGGTAAGACCCCAAATTTCCTTGGATTTCTCCTTCATCCGGGATTGATTTCCTTCATTTTTAACCCAAAAATTGAAATTATTTGGGTTTAATTAATAAACCCAAAATTAAAGCCCCAATTCTGGCGGGATTTTCCAGGATTTCGGTGTCCGAGTCATGTCCGGTCGTTCCCCCAAAAATTTTTGGCAGAATTTGCCTGAAATTTGTGGATTTCACCACAAAACGGAGCTGGGCTGGGAAAACGAACTCTGGAAATTCCCCAAATTCTCCAAATTCCCGGTTTTTCCCCCGGCAGCCGAAGAAATCGCCATCAGTTGGCCGCGGATCACCGCCTTCGCCGAATCGCACCGGAGACGCGGCCTGGGCGCCGGTGAGTCAACGGTGGCCAACGGGGCTTGGCCAAGGGGGGATTGGGCCTTCCAGTTGGCCAACGCAACCCAAAGTGGGTTTGGGCTCTTCCAGTTGGCCAACCCAACCAAGAGAGGGTTTGGATGTTCCAGTTGGCCCCCCAAGATCCCCAAAACCTCCCAAAAACCCTCAAAAATCCCCCAAAAATCCCCAAATCCCATCAAGATCCCCAAGGTTCCCCAAGACCCCAAACCCCTCCAAGATTTCCAAAAACTCCTCCAAGACCCCAAACCCCCCCAAAACCCACAAGACCCCCCCAGGATCCCCCTTTTCCTCCTCCAGATGCTGCCCCGGCCTCGCTGAGTGAAAACGAGGAGGAAGAGCCGCCGCCGGACCCCCTGGAAAAACCCGAAACCCCGGGAACGCCGCCGGCACCGAACCCCAAATCCCCACCGAGCCCCGCCAGCGCCAAACCCGGCGCCACCGAGGCGCCGAACCCGGAGCCCCGGTCCCGAAAAGCGCCAGGAAAACGTCAAGGAAAATCCGGCGCCCGTGGCTTCAAGAAATTCCCGCCGCGACAACTCCGGTGCCACGACTGCGGCAAATCGTTGGCGTTGCCGAAACGCCCGCGTGGGACGGAACGGCCCCACAAGTGCCCGGAATGCGGGAAGAGTTTCCGGCTGGGCTCCAGTTTGGTCACCCACCAGCGCCGGCACGCCGGGGACAATCCCTACAAGTGCCCGGACTGCGGGAAATCCTTCAGCGTCGGCTCGGCCTTCATCCAGCACCAGCGCGTCCACGCCGGTGCCGCGCCGTGCCGCTGCGGCGTCTGCGGGAAGAGCTTCCCGGCCAGCTCGGGTTTGGTGAAGCACCAGAAGCTTCACCTGGAGGAGAAACCCTACAAATGCGGCGACTGCGGCAAAGGCTTCAACTGGAACTCGCACCTGGAGCGGCACCGCAGGATCCACACCGGGGAGAAACCCTACGAGTGCCCCGAGTGCGGCAAGAGCTTCTCCTGGAGCTCCCACCTGGACCGGCACCGCCGAACCCACGCCGCAGCCCGGCCCGCCGGCCGCTGCACCGAGTGCGGGTCGGCATCGCCGGAACCGCCGGAGCGCGGGGCGCCTAAAACGCTGAAAAGCCCCAAAGTGCCCAAAAACCGGCGGGAGCCGGCGGAGAAACCCCACAAGTGCGCGGAATGCGGGAAGGGGTTCGGCCTGGCGGCGGCGTTGGCACAACACCGGCGCGGCCACGCGCCCGGCAAACCCTACGAGTGCCGGGAATGCGGGAAAAGCTTCTCCTGGAGCTCCCACCTGGATCGGCACCGGCGCATCCACATGGGGGAGAAACCGTTCCGCTGCGGCAGCTGCGGCAAGAGCTTCTCCCAGAGCTCCCACCTGGAGCGGCACCGGAAAATCCACCGGGAGCCGTGCCGGGAATGCGGCAAGGACGGCGGGAAAAAAGGCGGGAAGAGCCTCCAAAAGCGCTGCCGCGCTTCGGGGGAGCTGTGCGGCGACTGCGGCGCGGGGGCGGCGTGGGAGGAGAAATGCGGCGAGTGCGGGAGAAATCCGGGCCCGGGTTTGGCGTCGGGTTTGGGGTCAGGTCTGGGGTCAGGTCTGGGGTCGGGTTCGGCGTCGGGTCCGGCGTCGAGCACCGGGAATTTGAAGGATCAAGGCACGCAGACCGGCGAGAAGCCGCACGCGTGCCCGGAGTGCGGGAAGAGCTTCGCCCAAAACTCGGCGTTGGCCAAACACCGGCGGATGCACACGGGCGAGAAACCCTACGGATGCCCCGAGTGCGGCAAGAGCTTCGGCGTGCGCTCCAACCTGGTCAAGCACCGGCGCACGCACCTCGGCGAGAAACCCTACAAGTGTCCCGAGTGCGGCAAAGGCTTCATCCAGAAATCCGATCTGACCAAGCACCGCCGGATGCACACCGGCGAGAAGCCGTACGCGTGCCGCGAGTGCGGCAAGCGCTTCAGCGTCTCCTCCAACCTCATCAAGCACCGGCGCATCCACCTGGGCGAGAAACCCTTCCAGTGCGCCGAGTGCGGCAAGAGCTTCATCCAGCGCTCCGAGCTCACCATCCACCGGCGCGTCCACACCGGCGAGAAGCCCTACAAGTGCCGCGAGTGCGGCAAGTGCTTCAGCCGCAGCTCGCACCTCAACCGGCACCAGCGCACCCACGGCAAGGCCGGCGCCGCCGCCTCGTCCTCCTCTTCCTCCTCCTTCTCCTCCTCCTCTTCCTCCTCCTCCTCCTCCTCCTCCCTGGTGCCGGCGGCGCCGGCGGCGCCCGGTTTGGCCTTCCCGGCGTTCCCGGGCTCCTCGGCCGTGCCGACGGCGCTGGAGCTGCCCTGGGCGTTGGCGCTGCCGGGCCGCGCGTTCCCGGGGTTCCCGGTGGGTAATTAGCGCAGTGGTTAACGAGGGCCGGGCCCGGTTGGGTCATTAAGGGGCAGGCGGGGTGTCGGCGCGGTTCCGCTCGGTTCCCGGCGTTCCCGGTGCTCCCGGTGCCCAACGGGGCTTGGCCAACCTGAGACCCAACGTTGGGTTTGGTCTCCGTTTATTCCCGTTCAATTCGGTGCCCAGTTAACGATCCCTAATTAATTAGAGGTGATTTAATTGATTAATTCCATGTGGGAATGGGGAATTCCCATCCTCGCACGGTTCCGCTCGGTTCCTGGCGTTCCCGGTGCTCCCGGTGCCCAACGGGTTGGCCAACCCAAGACCCAACCTTGGGTTGGTGCCATTGAATTTTCATGGCAAATTAACGACCTCAAATTAATTAGGGGATGATTAATTGGCTAATTAATGATGGGAGGGGAAATTCCCATCATTCCCAGTGCCCCCAGTGCTCCCAGTGCCCAACTGTGATTCGTTGATCCCAAAATCCGACATCAGCGCCGTCGTTTTCCCGGAATTCCGGGGCAGTTTTTGGGAATTTTTTGGGATTTTTTTGGGAATTAAAAAAAATTTTTTTTGGGGAATTATAAAAAAACTTTTTGGGAAGTTTTTGATTTTTTTAGGGATTTTTTTAGATTTTTAAAAAAATTTTTTTAGATTTTTTTGGGGAACTTTTTGAGAATTTTTAACCTTTTTTTGGGGAATATTTTAGAAATTTTTTGGGGAACATTTTATCTGTTCCTGAATTTTCCATTCGTGTTCATGGTGAATTTTTTTTTTTTTTTTCTTTTCTGGGATGGGGTGGGGAAAAAAAGGAATGAGGGAGGGAAAAATGAGGAAAAATTGAAAATGGATTTTAGGAAAAGAAGAAATCCTAAGAAAGGGGAAAAAATGGGAAAATGTTCCAGGAAAAAAATGGAATTCAGAATGGAAATGGAATTTTTTTATGCCTGAATAGGAGGGAAAATCAGGAATTGCAAAGATTTCTGTGGAAAATGGAGAAAAATTCCGGAGATTTTTAGGAGGGATTTGTTGGTTTGGTGGGAAAATGGGGAAAAATGGGGAAATGATGGAAAATTTTGGGAAAATATGGAAAAATAATGGGGAAACGTGGGAAAATTATGGGAAAAATGTGGGAAAATAATGGAAAAATAAAAGAAAAAATGGGAAAAATGTGGGAAAATGATGGAAAGTGTGGAAAAAGTGTGGGAAAGATAATGGAAAAATAAAGGGAAAATGGGAAAATATGGGAAAATAATGGGAAATAAAGGGAAAATGGGAGAAAATATGAAAAAAGAGGAAAAATGTGGAAAAATAATGGAAAATTATGGGAAAATAATGGAAAAATGTGGGAAAATATGGAAAAAATGTGGCAAAATGTGGAAAATAATGGAAAAATTATTGAAAAATAAAGGAAAAATGTGAAAAATGTGGGAAAATGGAAAAATACTGAGAAAATGGGAAAATTTGGGAAAAAGATGGGAAAATATGGAGAAATAAAGGAAAAATGATGGAAAATGATGGAAAAAGAATGGGAAAATTATGGGAAAATGGAAAGAAAAGGAAAAGGGGGTTAAACATTGAAAAATTTGGGAAAAATGTCAGAATCCTCCCAAAATCTCGGGAAATTCCCAAATTTCCAAGGTGGCAACGAAGCCGAATTTTTGTTTTTCCAGGAAAAATTGGGAATTTTCTCCCAGAGCCTTTTCCCGGAGTAGAAATAAATGAGGAATTCCCAAATTTTCCTGCCTGGAATTTTCTTTGTCCGTGGAGCCGGGACTGGGGAAATTCCCAAGGCTTGAGGGGGTTTCCCAATTTCTGGGAATAGTCCAAAATTTTGGGGGGCTTTCACCATTTTTTGTGAGTTTTTCCCATTTTTTGGATGCATACTCCCATTTTTAGGTGCCTATTACCAGTTTTGGGTGGATATTTTAATTTCTTGGGTGGATATTCCCTTTTTCGGGGTGAGTTGTTGGATGGGTATTTTCATCTTTGGGGGGAGTTTTCCCATTTTTTGGATGAATTTTTCCAGTTTTTTTTAGGTTTTCCCACCTTTAGTGGAAAATTTTCCCTTTTTTTTAGATTTTCCCATTTTTTGGGGGGAGTTTTCCTGGGAGCAAAAAATTGGGATAAAAATAATCCCCAAAGAAACAGGAAAATCCCCAAAAATAAAGAGAAAAACACAAAAAAATTTCCCCCAAAAAGGGGAATAATCCCCCAAAAAATCCATGGATGAAGCGAGAAAAACCTTGGGAATGTCGAGATAAAAAAAGCAGGAATTACAAGAAGAAGGAATTTTATTGGTATCAACAATTTCCCGGGACTTCCCCCCGCCCCGAAATCCCAAATTCCTGAAATTTCCTGGAATTCCAGCAGGGCCGGGGGAGGAGGAGGATTTTGGGGATTTTTTGGGATTTTTGGGATGTGAAATCCATGGGAATTCCCGGGGTTGCCTCGAACTGGAGGATTCTCATCACAACCCCTCCCAAAAAATTCCAGAATTCCCAAAATTCCCGGAATTCCCAAAAATTCCTGACACCCCCCCCCCTTAGTGCAATTGGGTTCCTCTCTTGGTTTTGGGGTGGGAAAAGGGGAATTAGCCCAAACGAAATTAGGGAGTTCTGGGGGGAAATGGGGAATTTTGGGGGCTGGGACTCCCAAAAAAATCCCAAATTCCAGGGATTCAAAAAAAAAAAATCTCAAACTCCAGGGATTTATTCCCAAAAAATCTAAAATTCCAAGGATTTAACTCCAAATCCCCAAAATTCCGAGGATTTATCCCTGAAATTCCAGAGATTTATTCCCAAAAAAACCCCACATTCCTGGGGTTAACACCCAATTTCCTGGATTTATCCCCAAAATCCTCTCCAGGAATTCCATTGGAATTTTTTGGTAATTCCAGAGTCCAGAACTTTTTTTTTTTTTTTTAATTTCCTGGAATTTTTCAGGATTTCCTTGGAATTTTGTGGGACTTCTCGGGACTTTGTGGGGTTTCCTTGGAATCCCAGGACTTTGTGGAATTTCTTTGGGATTTGGATTCTCTTAGGACTTTTCAGGATTGTGTGGGATTTCCATGGGATTTTTTTTATTTCCTTGGAATTCTGTGGGATTTTCATGGGACTTTCCAGAATTTGGTGGGATTTCCTTAGGATTTCCCAGGATTTTGTGGGATTTCTTTGGGATTTGGTGGGAATTCCTGGGATTTCCTTGGAATTTTTGTGGATTTCCTTGGGATTTTTTGGATTTCACGGGATTTTTGTGGAACTCCCTTGGGATTTTTGGGAATTCCCGGGATTTCCCGCCGGCTCTCAGAGGCTGACGCTCCGGTGGTGCCGGAAATTCCGGCGCCGCTCCCGGCCCTCCCCCAGCTCCTCGCTGTGCAGGCTCAGCGCGTCCGGAATTCCCGAAATTCCCGCCAGGTGTTCCACGGAGTCGAATTTCTGCAGGTCGGAGGCGATGCTCTGCAGGCTCAGCAGGGACAGCGAATCCCCGGATGTCGACGCTTCCCGCGGAATTCCGGGAATTTCCCCTGGAATTCCAGGAATTCCACATGTTCTGTCCGGGATTCCATCAGGAATTCCGGGAATTTCACTCAAAATTCTGAGATTTTCACCCAGAATTCCAGGAATTCTGCTCGTCCTGGCTGGGGTTTCCTCAGGAACTCCGGGAATTTCACTCGGAATTCCGGGAATTCTGCTTGTTCTGGCCGGGATTTCACTGGGATCTCTGGGATTTTCCCCGGGAATTCCCGTTGGAATTCCAAGATTTTCACTCGGAATTCCAGGGATTCTTCCCATTCCAGATGAGGCTTCCCTGGGACTATTTTCCCCAGGAATTCTGCCCGTTCCAGCCAGGATTTCTGTGGGAATTCCAGGGGTTTCGCCGGGAATCCGGGGGATTTCCACGGGACTTTTGGGGATTTCGCCGGGAATTCCGGGGGTTTCTCCGGGAATCCCGTGGATCTCGGGGTTCTGGTGGCCGCCCTCGGCTCCCACGGGGTTCTCCCGGTGTTTTTTTTTCCGGAGGATCCTCTGGAGTCTCCGGGCGTGGATCTCCTCGCTGATCTGCTCCAGGTTCCGCAGGGCCACGGCGTAGCGCAGCTTGGCCTGGGAGACGGCGGATTCCAGGGAATTCACCCGGGATTTGTGCTCCTGGAAAAGGGGGGAGGTGGGAACGGCTGGGAATTCCCGAGGCACCGAAAACCCCGCCGGGAAACGCGGAAATTCCCGCCAGAATCGGTCAAAGTTCGGGGAAAATCGGGGAAAAATGAGTCTGAGCCCCAAAAATTCCCAGGACTTCCCAGTGCTCCCAGTATCCGGCCAAACTGGGACTCCCAGTCCCTCCCAGTGCTCTTTAATCCCGTTCCCAGTGCTCCCAGTTAAACCCAGCCCCTCTCCCAGTATCCCCAGTTCCCTCCCAGTTTATCCCAGTCCCTCCCAGTGCTCTTTAATCCCATTCCCAGTTTATCCCAGTCCCTCCCAGTGCTCTTTAATCCCATTCCCAGTTTATCCCAGTTCCCACCCAGTCCTCTTTAATACCATTCCCAGTCCATTCCAGTGCTCCCAGTTCCCCCCCAGTCCCTCCCAGTGCTCTTTAATCCCATTCCCAGTGCTCCCAGTTAAACCCAGCCCCTCTCCCAGTATCCCCAGTTCCCTCCCAGTTTATCCCAGTTCCCACCCAGTGCTCTTTAATACCATTCCCAGTCCATCCCAGTGCTCCCAGTTCCCCCCCAAGTCCCTCCCAGTGCTCTTTAATCCCATTCCCAGTGCTCCCAGTTAACCCCAGTGCTCCCAGTTAAACCCAGCCCCTCTCCCAGTAGCCCCAGTTCCCTCCCAGTTCCCTCCCAGTTTATCCCAGTCCCTCCCAGTGCTCTTTAATCCCAATCCCAGTGCTCCCAGTTAAACCCAGTGCTCTTTAATCCCATTCCCAGTGCTCCCAGTCCCCCCCAGTGCTCTTTAATCCCGTTCCCAGTGCTCCCAGTCCCTCCCAGTCCCTCCCAGTGCTCTTTAATCCCATTCCCAGTCCCTCCCAGTGCTCTTTAATCCCGTTCCCAGTGCTCCCAGTCCCTCCCAGTGCTCCCAGTTTGCCCAGTACCTCGAGGCGCAGGTTGAACTGGGCCTTCAGCTCGAAGTAGGGCCGGCTGCGGGCGATGTCGCGCCGCAGCGACTTCTGCAGCCGCTGCACCTCGGCCTCGGCCTCCTGGCACAGCCGCGTGGCGCGCCGGTGCTCCCGCTCGCTCCACAGCCGCTCCTGCTCCGCCTCGTTCACCTGCCGGGCCCGGATTCCCAAAATTCCCAAAATTCCCAAAAATCCCCGCGGAAATCCGGCCAGAAACGGCGAAAAACGGCGGGAAAAAGAGTGAAAAAAGGGCGAGAAACGACCCAAAAATAGGTCGGGATTTGGGCTTTGGATTTGGGAAGGGAGGAAATCCTGGATGATTTGTTGGGAATGAGGGAAATCCCTGGAAAATGTTTGGGAATGGAGGAAATCCCAACAAAAAAAGTGAAAAATGGGGAATTCCCAAAAGAAGGGGTCAGAAATGACGAAATAGCCCCAAAAAAATGGGAAAAATGAAAAAAAGAGCCCCAAAAATTCCCAAATTTTCTTTAACTCATCCAAGGACTTCTTCAGCCATCCCAAACCCCATCCCACCTTCAGCAATCCATTCCAGACCTTCTCCAACCCCATCCCACCTTCTCCAGTCCCCATCCCACCTTCTCCAGACCCCATCCCACCTTCTCCAATCCCCATCCCACCAATCCCAAACCTTCTCCCACCTTCTCCAGACCCCATCCCACCTTCTCCAAACACCATCCCACCTTCTCCAGACCCCATCCCACCTTCTCCAATCCCCATCCCACCAATCCCAAACCTTCTCCCACCTTCTCCAATCCCCATCCCACCTTCTCCAAACACCATCCCACCTTCTCCAATCCCCATCCCACCAATCCCAAACCTTCTCCCACCTTCTCCAATCCCCGTCCCACCTTCTCCAAACAGCATCCCACCTTCTCCAGACCCCATCCCACCTTCTCCAATCCCCTTCCCACCTTCTCCAGACCCCATCCCACCTTCTCCAATCCCCATCCCACCAATCCCAAACCTTCTCCCACCTTCTCCAGACCCCATCCCACTTTTCCCAAACCTTTTCCAACCCCTTCCCACCATCCCAAACCTCTCCGAGGCCCCCCGAAGCCATTCCCAGGCGTCCCACCTTCCTGGTGGCGTGGTTGAGCATCTCCTGCCAGGTGGGGTCCAGGCGGTTCTTGCCGGTGCCCATGCCCTGCTCGGCCACGAAGACCATCTCGCGCGCGGCGTTGTGCATGCCCACCGCCCGCTCGTAGCGCAGCGCCGCCCGCTGCGTCTCCTGCTGCGCCTGCAAGAGCCGACGGGCCGCGATTCCGGCGATTCCGGGAACGACTGCCGGAAACGGCGCTGCGCGGCCTTGGGGGAGTTTGGTGGGTGGGATGGAGATTGGAGAAGGTGGGATGGCGATTGGAGAAGGTGGGAAGGGGTTTGGAGAAGGTGGGATAGGGACTGGAGAAGGTGGGATGGGGATTGGAGAAGGTGGGATGGGGACTGGAGAAGGTGGGACAGGGTTTGGAGAAGGTGGGACGGGGTTTGGAGAAGGTGGGATGGGGTTTGGAGAAGGTGGGATGGGGTTTGGAGAAGTTGGATGGGGTTTGGAGAAGGTGGGATGGGGTTTGGAGAAGGTGGGACAGGGTTTGGAGAAGGTGGGATGGGGATTGGAGAAGGTGGGATGGGGATTGGAGAAGGTGGGATGGGGATTGGAGAAGGTGGGATGGGGTTTGGAGAAGGTGGGACAGGGTTTGGAGAAGGTGGGATGGGGATTGGAGAAGGTGGGAAGGGGATTGGAGAAGGTGGAACAAGGTTTGGAGAAGGTGGGAACGGGATTGGAATTGGCTAGAGAAAGTTCAGGATGGGTGGAAAAGCTTTGGGACGCATGGGGTGGAATTTGGGACCAGAATTCCCATTTCTCCTGCCATTTTTTCCCCAATTTTCCCCATTTTTAAAATTTTTATCGTTTTCCCCGGATTTCCCCCCAAAGCCGCACCTCCTTGGCTCTCCTGCGGGCCTCGTAGTAGGGCCGGGCCCGGTCGATGCAGGCGCCCAGCTGGGAGCCCTGGGAGTTCAACCGGCGCGCCGAGTCCGAGAGGATGCGGCGATAGCGGCACCGGGCGGCCTGGAACCAGTTTGGGACCGGTCTGAACTGGTTTGGGACTGGGAAACCAGTTTGGGACCGGTCCGGACTGGTTTGGGACTGGGAAACCAGTTTAGGATTGGTTTGGAAAAAATACCCATTTTCCCCATCTTTTTCCCCAAATCCCTCTCCCAGTCCCTCCCAGTCCCTCCCAGTTCCCTCCCAGTCCCTCCCAGTCCCTCCCAGTCCATCCCAGTCCCTCCCAGTCCCTCCCAGTCCATCCCAGTCCCTCCCAGTTCCCTCCCAGTCCCTCCCAGTCCCTCCCAGTCCATCCCAGTCCCTCCCAGTCCCTCCCAGTCCATCCCAGTCCCTCCCAGTTCCCTCCCAGTCCCTCCCAGTCCCTCCCAGTCCCTCCCAGTTCCCTCCCAGTTCCCTCCCAGTCCATCCCAGTTCCCTCCCAGTCCATCCCAGTCCCTCCCAGTCCCTCCCAGTCCCTCCCAGTTCCATCCCAGTCCCTCCCAGTTCCATCCCAGTCCCTCCCAGTTCTCCCAGTTGCTCACATCCAGCTCCAGCTCCCCCCGGTTGATTTCAGCGTTGGCCTCGTTCAGGTGCTCCAGCTCCTCCTGCACCCAGAAATTTAGGATAAAAACCCCAAAAATTGGGAAAAAAAAGACCCCAAAAAATTCCAAAATTTGGGAGATCCCAAAAAACGGGGAAAGAACCACCGAAGTCTGGGATAAAACCCCAAAAATCTGGGAAAAACGGCAAAAAATACTCAAAAATCTGCCCCAGAATCCCAAATTTTTGGGGATTCCCCTAAAATTCTCAAGACTCCCCCTAAAATTCCCCAAAATTTCCACCAGGTCCCAGAATTCCGTGACTTTCCCTCAAAAGTCCCCCCAAATCCTAAAACCTCCCTCAAAAAGCCCCAAAATTGCCCAAAAAGCCCCAAATTTGGACCCCAAAATCCTTGGATTTGGATCCCAACCCCCCAAAATCCCAGATTTTCTGTGATTTTCCTACCAAAGCCCCAAAATTCCAACCCAAACCCCCCAAAAAATGTGGGATTTTGCCCCAAATTCCCACCTGGATCCGGGGGTCCAGCTCTTCCTCCTCCTCCTCCTCCTCCTCCTCCTCCTCGGGGGGATTCCCGGGATTTTCCGAATCCCCCATTTTGGGATCCCCCGAAATTCCAGGGGGCCATCCAAGGGGGGGGAGGGGGTCAATCCATTGTTTTGGGAATTTTTGGGGGAATTTTTAAGGAGTTTTGGGAGACTGGGACAGGGGGAGCTGCAAAAAAAAAAAAAAAAAAAAAAAAAAAAAAAAAAAAAAAAAAAAAGGAAAATGTTAAAATTTGGGGATTTTTTGGTGAAATTTTGGGGTTTGGGGTGAGTTTGGTGACTCCAAATTTGGGAATGTTCTGGAATTCCCAGAAAATTCGCATAAATTTGCCCAAATTAAAAAAAAAAAAAGAAATCGACCACAATTCACTCAAATTCCCCCAAAATTCCACCACAAATCACTCAATTCCCAAATAACCACCAAAATTCACTCAAATCCCTGAAAATTCCCCCAAAATTGCTGAATTCCCACCCAAATTCCCAAAAATTCCACCCAAATATTCCCAAATTCCCTCAAAATCTCACCCATGACCCCAAAATTTTCACAAAATTCCCCCAAATTCATCCCGAAATCCCACCAGTGACCCCAAAATTCCCTTAAATTCCCCCAAAATTCCCTCAAATTCCTCAAAATTTCCTCAGAAATCCACAAAATTCCCATTCAAAAATCTCCAAAATCCACTCAAAGACCCCAAATCCCCTCAAGGTTTCCCCAAATCCCCCAAATAATCCCAAAATCCCACAAATTCCCCCAGAAATCCCCCAAATTCCCACCAAATTCCCATCAAGTCCCTCAAAATTCCCCTCCAAGCCCCTGCACGGCCACGGCCCCCCACCCACCCCTTTAATCTCCCCGATCCCCGACTGCCGAAATTCCCAAATATCCCTCAGAATTGGCCAAAATTTCCCAAATTTCCCCCAAATCCCGCCCCCATCCCCCCCCGGCCTGTGTTTACCCCCCGCTCCGCCACCGCCGTGGGGCCGCTCCCCCACCGGAACCGGAAGTTCCCCGCAGCCTTCTCTTTCCGTACAACATGGCGGCGCTCTTCCTGCGTTTTAAAACCCAGCATTTCCGCCGTTCTCCCGCTTCCCCTTAGGTTTAAATCGGTGTCGGGGGTTAAACGATGATGGCGGATCTGTCTCGCCCGGTTTGGCCGCGATTTGCGGTAAAAAATTCTTTTAAAGAACACCGGGGGTGATGGCAGGGTGCCGTCATCTTGTTGACCAGCTACACCGCCCTTCAAGATGGCGGCGATGCCAAGGAACGGTTGGACGGAAGCACTCAAAATCAGAGGGGAGAAGGCCTCGTGAGCCCCTAGACCTAACTGAAACCCCCAGGCATCGCCAAATCCCCCCCCGCTCATTTAAAACTTGGGTTCACCCCCGGTTCCTGCGCCACTCCCATGACGGAAGAGGAAGGGCCGCCATCTTCCTCCTGCCGTACAACATGGCGGCTCCCTCCGCCCTCCGTTTCCCCGCCTCTCGCCCGGTTTGCGGGAGCTCAAATAAGTCCCGGGAGTTAAATCGGTGCTGCCGAAGCCGTCGCGTTCGGTTTGGTCCCGGTTAGGTTTGAAACGCAGAGAGGAACAGCAGCGGGAGTGGCTCGCAGGGTGACGCCATCTTGTGGTACGGCACCGCCGCGCCGCAAGATGGTGGCGGGGGCGTCACCGCCATTTTGAATTCCTTTGATCATTTAAAATTAATTTCCTTTAGTTTATTTCAATTTTTTTTATTACTCGAATTTATTTTAATTTTATTAATTTTGTTTCTTTCCCGGTGGAATCTCAGATCCAGCGGGATTTCGGATCCCCCTCCTTTGTTTCCCTAATCCGCCTTTTTTTTTCCCCAAATCCCGCCTTTTTCTTCCATAAAATCCCTCCCTTTCCCCCCAAATCCCGCCTATTTTCCCCCACTCCTCTTTTCCGTTAATCCCAAAAATCACACCCCAAAACTCCTCCCAAAAAATTTTATCCCAAAAATCCGTCCTGGGATTTCTCCTTTCTGCTTGTCTCACTCTGGGATTTTTGAGATTTTTTGGGGGTATTCTTTTGGAATTTTTTGTTCTAGGATTCCCAGGAATTCCAGGGGGGCTTTTTGGTGTGGGAATGACCAACACGTAAGTGGAATTTTGGGGTTGGAATGAGGGAAAAAAGTGGGAATTTGGGAGGAAATCTGCAGGAAAATGTGGGAATTGGGGCCGGATTTTTGAGATCTCTCTCAAATCGACAAAATCTTTCACAAAAAATGCTAAATTCCCTCCCAAAATTCACAAAATTCCCCCAAATCTCCTCTAAAATCTCAAAATTCTCCCCCACATCCCCAAAATCCCCCCTAAAATCTAAAAATTCCCCACAAAACCCCCAAATTCCCCCCCAAATCCTACGAAAATATCAAAATTCCCCCAAAAGCCCCCAAATCCCCGCAAAATCCCCAAATTTTCCCTCCAAACCCCCGAATTCCCCTCAAACTCCCCTCAAACCATCAAATTGTTCCCAAGTTCCCTTCCAAACCCCCAAATTTTCCCCCAAATCCCCAAATTCCCCTCAAACTCCCCAAGAACCCCCAAATTTCCCCCAAAATCCCCCCACACCCCCTAAATTTTCCCCAGACTCCCCCCAACCCCCCAAATTTTTCCCAAAATCGCCACAAACCCCCAAATTCCCTTCAAACTCCTCCAAAACCCCCAAATTTTTCTCAAAATCGCCCCAAATTCCCATCAAACTCCCCCAAACCCCCAAATTTCCCCCAAACCCCTAAATTTTCCCCACACTCCCCCCAAACCCCCAAATTTTTCCCAAAATCGCCCCAAACCCCCAAATTCCCATCAAACTCCCTCCAAACCCCCAAATTTCCCCCAAACCCCTAAATTTTCCCCACACTCCCCCCAAACCCCCAAATTTTTCCCAAAATCGCCCCAAACCCCCAAATTCCCATCAAACTCCCCCAAATTTCCCCCAACCCCCCCAAAGGCGGCTCCAGCCCCTCCCCCTCCCCCTTGGCCCCGCCCCCTATTTGGCCCCGCCCCGCCCCTCCCCCACCCGGCCCCTCCCTCCGGTGATTCCCGAGCCCGAGGCCCCTCCCGGAGCCGCCGGGACCCCCCCCAAAAATCCATCCTTAAAATTCGGACACCCCAAAATCCACCCGCGCCCCCTCCCCCACCCCGGGAAATCCCAAAAAAAATCCCCCCCAAAAAAAAACCCCAAATTCCCACGATTTTTAATTAAATTTTTTTATTTATTTTTATTTTATTTCCCGGCATTTTCGCCGCTCCGTCCCCGCCCCTCCCCCACCCGTGGGAAGATTCCATCCCCCCCCCCCCCCCCCAAAATAAATCTGGGGGGTCCCTCCCCCCGCCCCCCTCGCCTTTTCCATTCCCGGTTTTTTGGGGATTTTTCCCGGTTTTTTTGGGGGGAATTTTGGGAAGATCGGGCAAGGTAAGGAGTGGCCCCTCCCCCACCTTTTTTATTTTGGGGGGAGGTCCCGAAATTCTGGGGGGGCTTCTGGAGGGGGTGAGGGGTCGCAAAAATTTGGGGGGGGTTTGTGGGATTTGTGGGGAGGGGGAGGACCCTGAGAGTGGGGGAGGGGTCCCAGAATTTGGGGGGGGAGGGGCAAAAATTGGGGGGAGGGTCCCAAATTTTTTGGGCGGAGGGGCAAAGATTGGGGGAGGGGTCCTGGATGGGGGGAGGGGCAGAAACTGGGGGAAATGCTCCATGTTTGGGATTTTCCTTATACAATTTCTCCATTTTTGGGGTTTCCCCTGTAGAATTTCTCCGTTTTTGGGGTTTTCCCCTATAGAATTTCTCATTTTTGGGGTTTTCAGATGCCACCGCCGTCGCTGTCCCCGCTGTCCCCTCTGCTCCTGCTGCTCCTCTCCAGCTCTGCCCGCGGCGCCGTCCACGCCAACCTCACCGAAGGTACCAAACCCAAACCTGGGCCAACCCCAACATTTGGGGCCAATCCCAAACTTTTGGGGCCAATCCCAAGTTTTTTAGGGTCAATCCCACATTTTTTGGTGTCCCCCAACCCCAAATCTCGTATTTTTGGGGCAAACACCATGTTTTTTGCTGTCCCCAGTCCCATGTTTTTTGGTGTCCCCAAATCCCACATTTTTTGGTGTCCCCAACCCCAAATCTCGTATTTTTGGGGCAAACACCATGTTTTTTGCTGTCCCCAGTCCCATGTTTTTTGATGTCCCCAACCCCAAATCTCATATTTTTGGGGCAAACACCATGTTTTTTTGCTGTCCCCAGTCCCATGTTTTTTGGTGTCCCCAAATCCCACATTTTTTGGTGTCCCCAACCCCAAATCTCGTATTTTCGGGGCCAACCAAACGTTTTTTGGTGTCTCCAGCCCCACAATTCCATCCCCAGCCCCACGTTTCCATCCCCAACGCCGCTCTCGGTGTCCCCAGGCTGCCAGATCATCCACCCTCCGCGGGACGGGGGCATCCGCTACCGGGGGCTGACGCCGGACGAGGTGCGGAGCGTCCGGTTCCTGCCCTTCGACTACGAGATCGAGTACGTGTGCCGGCCCGAGCGCGAGATCGTGGGGCCCAAAGTGCGCAAGTGCCAGCGCGACGGCACCTGGACGGCCATGGGCCACCCCAGCCGCTGCCGTGAGTGCCACCGAGAGGTCCCCTGGGGTCTCTGTCACGTCAGCGTTCCGTCCCGCGGAAGTTCTCGTTCCATCTCAGCGTGTCCATCTTGTCCTCATCTCATCAATGTTTCCATCTTGTCCTCATCCCATCATCTCCATCCCATCAACGTCTCCATCTTGTCACCATGCTATCCATGTCCCCATGCCATGAAGGTTCTCGTCCCATCAGTGTCTCCATCCCATCAACATCTCCATCTTGGCATCATTCCATTAAAGTCTCCATCTTGGCATCATCCCATCATCTCCATCCCACCAACGTTTCCATCTTGTCACCATCCCATCAACATCTCCATCTTGACATCATTCCATTGAAGTCTCCATACCACCAATGTCTCCATACCATCAATATCTACATACCATCAACGTCTCCATCCCATGAAGGTTCTCATTCCATCAACGTCTCCATCCCTGTCCCCATCCTATCAATGTCCTCACCTTCTTTCCACCCCATCAATATTCCCATCCCATCATCACTGTGAGCTCGACCATCATCATCACCTCAACCACCATCACCTTGACCATGGCCATCACTTGACCATCATCTTGACCTTGACCACCATCACCATCACCATGACCACCACTTGACCATCACCATGCCCAGGACCATCACCACGCCCATCACCTTGACCATGGCTAAGACCATGACGACCATGCATGGAGAACGGGCAGGCGACCGTTTTGGGGTTCACCAATGCCCGTTTTGGGGCCACCACCACCACATCCACTTTTGGGTTCACCTATGCCCGTTTTGGGGCCACCACCCCACATTAATTTTGGAGCCATCATGCCACGTGGATTTCGGGCCCACCACCTCACGTCCACTTTGGGGTTCGCCACTCCAGATCCACTTTGGGGTTCACCAATGCCCATTTTGGGGCCATCACCTCATGTCCACTTTGGGGTTCACCACTCCAGATCCACTTTGGGGTTCACCAATGCCCATTTTGGGGCCATCACCCAACATCCACTTTGGGGCTCCCTGATGCTCAGATTTTGGGGCCACCACCCCACATCCACTTTTGGTGTCCACCAACACCCATTTTGGGGTTCACTGATGTTCACATTTTGGGGCCACCACCCTATGTCCATTTTGGGGTTCACCAACGCCCATTTTGGGGTTCACTGATGTCCACGTGGATTTTGGGGCCACCACGCTGACCCCGCGGTGTCCCCACAGTGCGGACGTGCCCCAAGGCCCACCTGAGCCTGGAGAACGGGCAGGTGGCCGCGGGGGCCATGGAGAAGGTCCCCGTGGAGGGCACCTGGGCCAGGTTCTCCTGCCAGCCCGGCTTCCGCCTGGTGGGCGCCGCGCGCAGCAACTGCACCCGGAGCGGACGCTGGAGCCAGCCCCGGCCCCACTGCCTGCGTCAGTCCCGCTTTTGGGGGATTTTGGGGTTTTTGGGGGAATTTTGGGAGTTTTGGGGTATTTTGGGGGTTTTGGGGTGTGCGGGATTTGGGCTTTTGGGGTTTTTTTGGTTTTTTTTTTTTCAGATTTTTATGGGCATTTGGGGCGTGGGAGATTGGGTTTTTTTTGTGGTTTTGGGGTCTTTGGAGTTTTGGGCCGTGGGGGATTGGGGTGTAGGAGATTGGGGTTTTGGGCCTTGTTTGTGGTTTTTTTGGGGGGGATTTTTGGGGGTATTTTGTGAGTTTTTTGGTGTCTTTGGAGTTTTGGGGTGTGGGGGATTGGGCTTTTGGGGATTTCTTGGGGGGGGTTTGGGGTTTTTGGGGTGTTGGAGTTTTTTTGGGGGTTTTTTTTTGAGGTCTCTATGGGATTTGGGGTTTGTGGGATTTGGGGTTTGGGTTTTTGGGGTGTTGGGGTCTGGGGTTTTGGGGTTTTTTGGGGGGTTAGGATTTTGGGGTCTTTGGGGTTTGGGGGTCTCTGTGGGATTTTGGGTTTTGGGGGGATTTGGGGTCGTTGGGATTTGGAGTTTGCATTTGGGGTTTTGGTGGTCTGGGGGATTTGGGGTCTCTGGGGTTTTCTGGGAAGGTTCTTGGGGATTTTTTGGGGAGGGGTCTCTCTGTGACTCAGTTTCCCCTGGGAATTTTTTTGGGGGTATTTCTGGGATTTTTTTGGGGTTTCTGGAATTTGGGGGGGGGTCTCTCTGTGTGACTCAGTTTCCCTCTCCTCCCCCACAGCTCATCGACCCCCCTCAGGTGAGTCCGTGCCCCCCCCCCGCCCCCCCAAATTTCCCTTTCCTCGAGGGGTGGGACCCCAAAACCGCCCCCGAGCCCCTCCCCGCTCCTCTTCCTCCCTCCCTCCTCTTCCTCCCCCTCCTTTTCCAAGCCTTCCTCCCTCCCCCTCCTCCTCCTCCCAGCCTTCCTCGCTCCTCCTCTTCCTCCTCCCCCTCCCTCTCTCCCTCCCCCCTCCTCCTCTTCCATCTCCATCATTTCCCAGCCTTCCTCCTCCTCCTCCTCCTCCTCCTCCTCCTCCTCCTCCTCCTCCTCCTCCTCCTCCTCCTCCTCCTCCTCCTCCCCATCCCGGCTCCTTCCCCGCCAGATTCTCCGCCCCGAATTCCCGAATTTCCGAATTCCCGACCCCCCCACCCCCCCCAGCTCCAGTTTCCATCCCTCTCCCTCCCCTCCCCCTCCCGACCCTCTCCCCTCCCTCCCTCCCCTCCTTTTCCGATCCCGCTTTTTTCCCCCATTTCTCCATTTCCCATCTTTTTTCCAAATTTTTCCCATTTTCTCCCCTCCTCATCCCGATTTTTTCCCATTTTCCCTCCATTTCTCCCCTCCTCATCCCGATTTCCCCCCTTTTTCCCCCCCGATTTTCTCCCCTCCTCCTCCCTCGGTTTTCCTGATTTTTCCCGATTTCCCATCTTTCTCATCCCAATTTTCCCCGTTTTTTCCAGATTTTCCCCATTTTATCCCCTTCTCATACCCCTTTTTTCCCAAATCTTCCCATTTCCCCCCCTCTTTTTTTCTCGATTTTTCCCATTTTTTTCCTATTTCCCCCCCATTTTTTTCCCGTGAATTTTTCCTGTCTCTCACCCCATCAATCTCCTCCCTGCATTTCTGCATTTTTCCCGATTTTTCTCATTTTTCCCCTCCTCATCCTGGTGTTTTCCCATTTTCTCGCCATTTTTCTCCCCTTTTTTCATGATTTCCCCCCTAATTTTCCCCTCCCCATCCCAATAATTTCCCATTTTCCTTCCTTACTTTTCCCCATTTCCCCCTCATTTTTCCCCCTCATTTTCCCGAGTTTATCCTTCATTTCCCCTTCATTTTCCCCTCATTTTCCCCCATTTTTTCCCTCATTTCCCCCCCCATCTCCCACCTTAACCCCCCCGCATTCCCCCCCTTATTTCCCCCATTCCCCCCAATTCCTCCCAAATCCCAAACCCCCCTCAAACCCCCCTTCCCATCTCCCCACCCCTTCCCCTCCCCCACCTGACATCACCACCACCCCACCCCCAACCCCCTTCAAAACCCCAAAAAAACCCCAAAACCGCCAAAAAACCCCCCATAAAAACCCCAAAACCCACCCAAAAAACGCCCAAAATCCGCCGCGATGCCCTTTTGGGGTTGAGCCATGGGGAGCCCCGAGCGGGTGGCCCCGCGCTGGCTCGGGGCGGCCGTTTTGGGGTGGTTTTTGGGGTGGCTGCTGGGGCGGACGCCGACGTGGGCCCTAGGGAAGAAGGCCGTGCACGTGGGCGCGCTCTTCCCCATGTCCGGCGGCTGGCCGGGCGGGCAGGCGTGCCTGCCGGCCGTCAGGATGGCCCTGGAGGACATCAACGAGCGCCGCGACATCCTGCCCGACTACGAGCTGCGCCTCATCCACGTCGACAGCAAGGTACCAGGGAAAAATTTCGGGTTTTGGGGTCGAAAATTGGGAGTTTTGGGGTTTTGGGGTCAAAAATAGGGGATTCGGGGTCAGGAATTGAGGTTGGAGGCCATCAGCCAGCACCATGAGATCCTGCCCGACTATGAGCTGCGCCTCATCCACGTCGACAGCAAGGTACCGGGGTTTGGGGTCGAAAATTGGGAGTTTTGGGGTCAAAAATTGGGAGTTTTGGGGCTATGGGGTCAAAAATGGGGGATTTGGGGTCAGGAATTGAGGTTGGAGGCCATCAGCGAGCACCATGAGATCCTGCCCGACTACAAGCTGTGCCTCATCCACATCAACAGCAAGGTACCGGGGCAAAATTTCGTGTTTTGGGGTCAAAAATTGGGATTTACAGTGAGGAATTGGGATTTGGGGTAAGAAATCAGGGTTTGGGTTACTTGGGGTTGGAGGACATCAACGAGCACCGTGACGTCCTGCCCGACTACGAGCTGCGCCTCATCCACGTCGACAGCAAGGTACCGGGGTTTGGGGTCAGGATTTGGGGTTTTGGGGTCAGGATTCCTGTCAGGAATTGGGATTCGGAGTCAGAAATTGGAATTTGGAGACAGGATTTGGGGTTTTGGGGTCAGGTTTCCTGTCAGGAATTGGCATTCGGGGTCAGAAATTGGAATTTGGGGTCAGGAATTGGGATTCGGGGTCAGGAATTGGAATTTGGGGTCAGGAGTTGGTGTTGGGATCAGATTTGAGGTCACCAGGATGGGGTCAGGGGTTGTTGGGGTTTGGGGGACACCGGGAATGGGGTTGGGATTGGGGAATTGGGGTTGGGGGGCTCCAGAAGAGGTTTGGGGTCAGGTTTGGGGTCACTGGGATGGGACTGGGGTCAGGTTTGGGATTGAGGTGAGTTTTGGGGTCACCGGGATTGGATTGGGGTGAATTTGGGATTGGGATGAGTTTTGGGGCCACCGGGATGGGGTTGGAATGGGTTTGGGATGGGGTTGGGAAAGGATTTGGGGCACAGGGTCAGGAATGGGATTTAGGGCAGGAGATCAGGAATGGGACCAGGATTTCAGATTGGAGGCCCCAAAATTCCAGTTTTTCCCCCAAAAATCCCAACTTTCCCTCCAAAACCCCCCACTTTTCTCCCCCATAAATCACCACTTTTCCCCCCAAAATTCTCCATTTTTCTCCCCAAAAATCCCAATTTTTCCCCCAAAATCCCCTCTTTTCCCCCTAAAAAAATTCCAAATTTTTCCCCTAAAAATCCCTATTTCCCCCCCGCCCCAAAACCCCCAAATTTTCCCCCCCAAAATTTACCATTTTTCTCCCCAAAAATCCCAATTTTCCCCAGCATTTTTCCGGGATTTTTGGCCGTCCCAAACCCCCCTAAAATTTCGTCCCCCTGCCCAAACTGGTCCAGCGCTGTTGCCATGGCAACGGGGGGATGCTGCTGAGCGTTGCCGTGGCAACAGCTCCGGCTCCTTTTCCGGACCTTTCCGTGCCCTGAATTATTCATGGAATTTTTCCTTTGGAATGGGCAAAAAAAAAGGGAAAAGTGGGGGAGGGGATCCCCAGTTCTGGAATCCCAGAATTCACGGATTTTTATGGGGGAAAAAAGGGGAAAACTGGGATTTCTTCGGGTTGAAAATGGGATTTTTGGGGTTGAAAATGGGATATTTTGGACAGTAAATGGGAATTTTTGCGTTGAAAATAGGATTGTGTCCATTTTTGTGTCCACTTTTGGGATTTTTTGGCCATTTTTGGGTCCATTTTGGGGCTATTTTGGGGCCATTTTAGGGCCAGTTTGGGATATTTTAGGGCCGTTATTGGAATTATTTGGGGTCGTTTTGGGGTGGGGTTTTTTTTGGGGAGAATTTTGGGGTTTTTTTGCCTGGAACTGGTAGATCCTGGTAGTTCAAACTGGTTGGACTGGGATTGTCCCCAATTGTCCCCTCAGTGTGACCCTGACCACACCTGGCGCCATCTTGGATTTATGGGTCCAACCTTGGATTTTGGGGTTTTTGGGGTGGTTTTTTTGGAGAATTTTGAGGTTTTCTGCCTGGAACTGGTGGTCGTGGTGGCTGGCACTGGTTGGACTGGGATTGTCCCCAATTGTCCCCTCAGTGTGACCCCGGCCAGGCCACCAAGCTGCTCTACGAGCTGCTCTACAACCTCCCGTTCAAGATCATCCTCATGCCCGGCTGCTCCAGCGTCTCCACCCTGGTGGCCGAGGCCGCGCGGATCTGGAACGTCACCGTGGTGAGGGGCCCCCATGGGGAATTCGGGATTTTCGGGAATTTTCTGGATTTTGTTGTTGTTTTTTGGGGTTTTTGTTCTTCTTTTTCTTTGTTTTGGGGTTTCTCAATATTTTGGTTTTTTTTTTTTCATTTTTTGGTTTTTTTTTGGGTGGGGGTATTTTTGGGATTTTGTTAGGGGTTTTTTTGTTCTTTTTTTTTAATTTTATTTTTTGGGTTTTTTTGGGGGGGATTTTCTCAATTTAGGGGTTTTTTTTTGGAGGGAGTGATTATTTTAGGGTATTTTGGGTGGGGGAAATTTTGGGGAATTTGGGGGATTTTTTAAATTTTTTTTTTTTTGGGTGTTTCCTATAATTTTTAAAGGGTTTTTTTTGGTTTTTTTTTCTAATTTCTTTGGTGATTTAAAAAATTTTTCTTTTGGGTAGCTTTTTTATTTTTTTGTGGAGATCTTCTGCATTTTTTTGAGGAATTTTTTCTGGATTCTTCAAATAATTTTGGGGGATTTTTGGGTGGGTTAATTTTTGGAAAATTTTCAGGATTTTTGGGGGGATTTTTTTGGTTTTTTTGGGGAGGATCTTCTGGATTGGAATTTAGAATTTTTTTTGGTGGGGATTTTTTTGGGGGGTGTTTTGGGAATTTTTCTAAAAACATTTTGCAGTTTTTTGGAATTTTTTGAGAATCTTTTGGCAGTACTTGGAGATTTTTTGGGGACTATTTGAGATCTTTGGGGGATTTTTTGGGGAAATTTTCTTTATTTTTAAACAAATATTTAAAAAAATATTTTCCTAAATTTTTAAAAAATAAAATAAAAAGTTTTGGAACATTTACTGATCTTTTGGGAATTTTTTGGGGGGAAGTTTTGGGATTTTGGGGGGGTTCTTCCTGTCACTCTGCGGTTGCCACTCCCAGATTTTTCCTGTCATTCCCAGGACATTCCCGTCATTCCCACGTTGTTCTTCCCAGTTGTTCCCAGATTTTTCCTGTCACTCCCAGGTTGTTCCTGTCACCCCCATTCCCACAATTCCCGAATTTCCTAAAACCCCCAAATCCCCACCCCCATTCCCAAAATCCCCGCCAAAAATTCCTAAATTCCCAAATATCCACAATTCCCAAAATTCCCAAAATTCCCAAATCCCAAAATTCCCAAATTCCCACACTCCCAAAACTCCAAAAATCCCCATTCTCATTCCCAAAATCCCCAAATTGCCAAAATCCCCAAATCCGCACAAGTCCCATCCCCATTCCCGAATCCCCATAATTCCCATTCCCAAATTCCCAAATCCCCAAACCCCCAAATCCCCAAAACCCCACAATTCCCATTCCCTTCCCCATAATTCCCATTCCCAAAACCCCAAAAACCCCAAATCCCCATCCCCACAATTCCCAAAATTCCCATCACCACAATTCCCAATTCCCCATTCCCAAAACCCTAAAATCCCCAAATCCCCACAATTCCCATTCCCAGAAATTTCCATTCCCCATTCCCCAAACCCCAAAATTCCCAAATCCCCACAATTCCCATTCCCAAAAATACCCATTCCCAAAATCCCTGAAATTTCCAAATCCCCAAATCCCCACAATTCCCATTCCCAAAATCCCCAAAATTTCCAAATCCCAAACCCCCCAAAATCCCCCCCAAAAAAATCCCCCAAAAAAACGGGAATTTTATTTTTTTTCTGGGAATTCCTGTTGGCCATTCCCAGCTTTCCTACGGCTCCAGCTCCCCGGCGCTCTCCAACCGCCGGCGCTTCCCGACGTTCTTCCGGACGCATCCGTCGGCGACGCTGCACAACCCCACGCGTGTCCAGCTCTTCAAGAAGTGGGGCTGGACCAAGATCGCCACCATCCAGCAGACCGAGGAGGTCTTCACCTCGGTAGGAGCCCCAAAACCGCCCCAAAACGCTCCCGGTGTCCGAGCCAATCCCGGAATTCCAACAAATCCCAACTCGGCCTCGGCAGCCTCAAAATCCTCCTTGGTAGCCCCAGAATCCCTCTTGGTGACCCCCAAATTCACCTCGGTAGGAACCCCCAAAAATGCCCTCTGAGTCCGACCGACGCCGGCGCCGGCGCCCCAAAACCGTCCCAGAACTTCTCGGAATTCCCAAATCCGTGTCTGGGTCAATCCTGGAATTCCAGCTTGGCTTTGGTGGCCCTAAATCGTCCTTGGTGGCCCCAAATCCTCCTTTGGTGGTCCTAAATCATCTCTGGTAGCCCCAAATTTTCCTTGGTGCCCCCAACCCCATTTTTGGTGCCCCCAACCCCATTTTTGGTGCCCCAACCCCATTTCTGATGTCCCCAACCCCATTTTTGGTGCCCCAACCCCATTTCTGATGCCCCAACCCCATTTTTGATGTCCCCAACCCCATTTCTGATGCCCCCAACCCCATTTTTGGTGCCCCCAACCCCATTTTTGGTGCCCCAACCCCATTTTTGGTGCCCCCAACCCCATTTTTGGTGCCCCAACCCCATTTTTGGTGCCCCCAACCCCATTTTTGATGTCCCCAACCCCATTTCTGATGCCCCAACCCCATTTTTGATGTCCCCAACCCCATTTCTGATGCCCCAATCCCATTTTTGTGCCCCCAACCCCATTTCTGATGCCCCCAACCTCATTTTTGATGCCCCAACCCCATTTTTGATGCCCCCAACCCCATTTTTGGTGCCCCAACCCCATTTCTGATGCCCCCAACCCCATTTCTGATGCCCCCAACCTCATTTTTGATGCCCCAACCCCATTTTTGATGCCCCCAACCCCATTTTTGTGCCCCCAACCCATTTCTGATGCCCCCACGTCCCCCCCAGACCCTGGATGACCTCGACCGGCGGGTGAAGGAGGCCGGGCTGGAGATCACCTTCCGCCAGAGCTTCTTCTCCGACCCCTCCGCGTCTGTCCGGAACCTCAAGGTGAGACCCCACCCCACCCTGAGGTCCCACCCCACCTTCAAGACCCTCCCCAGCCACTGTGGACCCCCAAAAAGAGGCGAAACCGCCCCAAAAATCCATCGGGGTCACAGAGGAATGGCCAGAGTGGTGGGAGAGGGAGGCAGATTTATGCAAATGAGGTGGGCGGGGCTTTAACAAGCATCCAATCCTGCAGCGCCAGGACGCCCGGATCATCGTGGGGCTCTTCTACGAGACGGTGGCACGGAAAGTCTTCTGTGAGGTGGGAACGGGGCGGGAACGGGGCGGGTCCCAATGGTGGATGGTGGGAATTGATGGATCATGGATCGATGGAGATGGAGGAGGAGGAGGAGGAGGATGGATCAGTGGTGGAGCTTGATGGAGCATGGATGGATGGATGGACCAATGGTGATGGATCAATGATGATGGATCAATGATGGTGGATCACGGATGGATGACGGACTGTAGATGGACTCTAACAATGAATGATGGATGAAAATGAACAGAAACTGATGATGGACAGACGGACGGATCTCCCCACCCTTCCAGGTCTACAAGGAGAAGCTCTACGGCAAGAAGTACGTCTGGTTCCTGATTGGCTGGTACGCCAACAAGTGGTTCCGCACCCCGGACCCCTCCATCAACTGCACCGAGGCCGAGATGGCCGAGGCCGTCGAGGGCCACATCACCACCGAGATCGTCATGCTCAACCCCGAGAACACCCGCAGCATCTCCAACATGGTACTGGGACCACTGGGAGGGCTCCGCCGACCCAGCCGTTGGGTCAGCGTTGGGTGGTCTCCAACCCAACCATTGGGTCAGCGTTGGGTCGTTTCCAACCCATCTGTTGGGTCAGCGTTGGGTGGTCTCCAACCCAACTGTTGGGTCAGCATTGGGTGGTCTCCAAGCCAGCCGTTGGGTCAGCGTTGGGTGGTCTCCAACCCAACCGTTGGGTCAGCGTTGGGTGGTCTCCAACCCAACTGTTGGGTCAACCTTGGGTGGTCTCCAAGCTGTTGGGTCACTGTTGGGTGTTTCCCACCAGACGTCCCAAGAGTTCATCGAGAAGCTGGAGAAGAGGCTGGGGAACAACCCGAAGGAGACCGGGGGCTACCAGGAGGCGCCGCTGGCCTACGACGCCATCTGGGCCTTGGCCTTGGCGCTCAACAAGACGGCCCAAGAGTTGGCCAAGCAAGGGGTGGGGCTGGACGAGTTCAACTACAACAACAAGACCATCACCGATGAGATCTACCGGGCCCTCAACTCTTCAGCCTTCGAGGGTGTCTCGGTGCGTCGCCGGTGCCACCGAAATCCAGCCTTGGGTGGAGGTGACACCAAAATGTGGTCCCAAAAGTCAGATTTGGGTGGAGGTGACACCAAATCTGCATTTTGGGTGGAGGTTCCTCAGAAATGCGACCCCAAAATTCATTTTCGGGTGGAGGTGATACCACGGGTGGCCCCAAAATTCATCTTTGGGTCGAAGTGACAGCAAGGGTGGTCCCAAAATTCATCCATGGGTGGAGATGACATCAGTGGTGTCACCAAAAGTCATCCTGGGGTGCCATTGTGGATGTCACTGCGTTCGGGCGGAGGTGCCACCAGGGGTGTCCCCAACGCCGCCGCCGTGTCCCCACCAGGGCCACGTCGTGTTCGATGCCAGCGGCTCCCGCATGGCCTGGACCCTCATCGAGCAGCTCCAAGGTGAGGGGACACCGGGGACACCCGGGTGACAGCGCCGGGTGACACTGGGGCACCTTCAGGTGGCGCTCAGGGACCTTCAGGTGACACCAAACCCCTTCTGGCTCCACCACCCGTGGGTGTCCCCAAGTGCCACCAGTGCCACCACCAGGTGTCACCTGTCCAGTGTCACCTGTCCTGGTGTCACCTGTCCATTGTCACCTGTCCTGGTGTCACCTGTCCCGGTGTCCCCAAGTGTCACCTGTCCTAGTGTCATCTGTCCATTGTCACCTGTCCAGTGTCACCTGTCCTAGTGTCACCTGTCCATTGTCACCCATGCCAGTGTCACCTGTGCCGGTGTCACCTGTCCAGTGTCACCCGTGCCGGTGTCACCTGTCCACTGTCACCCGTGCTGGTGTTACCTGTCCCGGTGTCCCCAAGTGTCACCTGTCCTAGTGTCATCTGTCCATTGTCACCTGTCCAGTGTCACCTGTCCTAGTGTCACCTGTCCATTGTCACCCATGCTGGTGTTACCTGTCTGGTGTCACCCGTGCTGGTGTCACCTGCCCATTGTCACCTGTCCATTGTCACCCGTGCCGGTGTCACCCGTGCCGGTGTCACCTGTCCGGTGTCACCCGCGGCAGATGGGGAGTACCAGAAGATCGGTTACTACGACAGCACCAAGGACAACCTGTCCTGGTACAACAACGACAAATGGATCGGTGAGAAACGGGGCGAAAAACGGGAAAAATGGGGGAAAAATGGGAAATTCGGGAAAAATGGGGAAAATGGGAGGGAAAAAAAGCGGAGAAATGGGAAAAAATGGGGGGCAAATTGGGGAAAATTGGGGGGAAAATTGGGGGAGGTTTGGGGGAAATTGGGAAAAAAGGGGACAAATGGGAGGAAAAATGGGAGGGAAAAAAGCAGGGAAATGGGAAAAAATGGGAAAATTGGAGAAAATTTGGGACAAATGGGAAAAAAGGGGAAATTTGGGGAAAATAGGAGGAAAAATAGAGAAAATGGGGGGAAATTGGGGGGAAATGGGGAGAAATTGAGAAAATGGGAAAAATTGGGGGAATTGGAAAAAAAATGAAAAATGGGGAAAAATTGAGGAAAAAATAGGAAAAAATAGGGAAAATGGGAAGGAAAATGGGGGGAGATGGAGAAAAAATTGGGGGGAAAATGGGGGGAAATGTGAATCAAAATGGGGAAAAATGGGGAAAAATGGGGGAGAAAAAGGGAAAAATGCTGAAAACGATGGAGAATTTTTCTTGATGTTCCCAAATTCCAGAATTTTTTGGGATTTGTCCCAATTTTCCTCCTCAGGGGGGTCCCCTCCGGCCGATTACACCAAGGTGATCACCACGTTCCGCTTCCTGTCCCAAAAATTGTTCATTTCTGTTGCGGTGTTGGCGTCACTGGGGATCGTCCTGGCCGTGGTTTGTTTGGCCTTCAACATCTACAACGGGCACGTGAGGTGGGGAAATCCCAAAATTCCCCAAAATTCCGCGGTTTCGGGGGCTGGGAGGGAAAAAATTGGGAATTTTCAAGGGTTTGAGGTGAAAAAAATCTGGGTTTTAAGGGGTTAAAGTGAAAAAAATCTGAATTTCAGGGGGTTAAATTGAAACAAATCTGAGTTTTAGGGGGTTAAAGAGAAAAAAATTAATAATTTTAGGGGTGTAAATTTAAAAACTGTGAAAACAGGGCAAAAATGGGGGGAAACTGGGAAAACTGGGGGGAAAATGGGGGGAAAAATGGGGAAAAACTGGGGAGAATGGGGAGAAAATCAGGAAAAATTGAGAAAAACTGGAAAGAACAGGGGGAAATGGGAGAAAACTGGGAAAACCAGGAAAACCAGGAAAAATATGGGGAGGAACTGGAAGAAGTGGGGGGTGAAAAATGGGAAAAAATCTGGGAAAAATGGGGTGAAAATGTGGGGAAAATGGGGAAAGAATCTGGGGAAAAATCTGGGGAAAATGGGGGAAAAGCAAGGAAAAGCTGAAAACCAGGGAAAAAATGGGGAAAAATTGAGAAAAACCGAGAAAATGGGGGAGAAATCCTGGGAAAAAACTGGTGTTGCACACCTGGCGGTGACGCTGTCGTCGGGACGCCCCAGCCACGCGCGGCTGTTGCCATTTCCGGTCCCCGTTTTTCCCGGGGACGGGGCCAGCCGGCAATTCCCGGATTTTTGGGCAGGTACATCCAGAATTCCCAGCCCTACCTGAACAACATGACGGCCGTCGGTTGTACCCTGGCGCTCGCCGCCGTCTTCCCGCTGGGGCTGGACGGGTACCACATCGGGCCGGGGCTGTTCCCGCTCGTCTGCCAGGTGGGAACGCGCCGCAACAGGCGGAGCAACAGGCGGAGAGGGGGAAATGGGGTGGGAACAGGCGGAGCAACAGGCAGAGAGGGGGAAAATGGGGTGGGAACAGGCGGAGAGGGGGAAAATGGGATGGGAACTGGCAGAGAGGGGAAAATAGGGTGGGAACAGGCAGAGAGGGGGACAATGGGATGGGAACAGGCGGAGCAACAGGCTGAGAGGGGGAAAATGGGGTGGGGACAGGCGGAGAGGGGAAAAATAGGATGGGAACAGGCAGAGAGGGGGAAAATAGGATGGGAACAGGCGGAGCAACAGGCGGAGAGGGGGAAAATGGGATGGGAACAGGCAGAGAGGGGGAAAATGGGATGGGAACAGGTGGAGACACCACCAGGGATGGAAAGAAACAGCAACAATCAGAGGAACAACCAGAAAAAGGGGAAAACCCAGGGAGCGGGAACAGTCAGCGTTGCCGTTCCCAGCCGGGTTTCTGACTGTTGCGGCGTGTTCCGACTGTTGCACCGGGTGTTCCGCAGGCGCGGCTGTGGCTGCTGGGGCTGGGCTTCAGCCTGGCCTACGGCAGCATGTTCACCAAGATCTGGTGGGTGCACACCGTCTTCACCAAGAAGGACGACAAGAAGGACAAGCGGAAGGTGAGGAATTCCCAGGGGGTCGGGGATGGGTGTTGCCTCGGTTTGGGTGTTGTTGTTGGGGTTTGGGTGTTGGTTTGGGATCTGGGTGTTCCACTCAGTACCAGTGACTGGGATTTCCACCGTTATCGCTGGGAATTCCGGTGTCACCGCCGGGAATTCCGGTGTCACCGCCGGGAATTCCGGTGTCACCGGCTGGGAATTCCGTGTCCCCGCAGAGCCTGGAGCCCTGGAAGCTCTACGCCACTGTGGGGGGCCTGGTGGCCTTTGACGTGGTCACGCTGAGCGTGTGGCAGATCGTGGACCCCCTGCACCGCACCATCGAGGTCCGGGGGTCCTGGGAGGTTCTCCAGGGGTTTGGGGGGTCCTGGGATGTTCTCCAGGGGTTTGGGGGGTCCTGGGAGGTTCTCCAGGGGTTTGGGGGGTCCTGGGAGGTTCTCCAGGGGTTTGGGGGGTCCTGGGATGTTCTCCAGGGGTTTGGGGGGTCCTGGGAGGTTCTCCAGGGGTTTGGGAGTTCCTCAGGGTATTTGGGGGGGTTCTGGGAGGTTCTCCCCCACTGTACCCACCCCAAAAAAACATCAAATCACCCCAGAACTCCCCCAAAAATCCCCTAAAAAAATTCCCAAATCCCGGCATTTTTTCCCAGGAGTTCAACAAGGAATTCACCCCAAATCCCCCAAAAACCATCAAACCGTCCCAAAATCCCCCCAAAAAAACCCTCAAAAAACGCCCCAAACGCCCCGAAATTCCCAAATCCCGGTGTTTTCCCCCAGGAATTCACCAAGGAGGAGCCAAAGTCGGACATGGACGTGTCCATCCTGCCCCAGCTCGAGCACTGCAGCTCCACCAAGATGAACACCTGGCTCGGTGCGCGATTTCGGGGTTTTCAGGTCAAATTTTGGGGGTTCAGGTGGAATTGAGAGCAAATTTGGGGGATTTTAGATGGAATTTTGGGTGTCCAGGGGAAATTTTGGGAGCCCAGGTCAAATTTGGGGGATTTTAGGACAAATCTGGGGGATTTCAGGTGGAATTTCGGGAATTCAGCTGGAATTTGAGGAATTCAGGTGAAATTCCAGGAATTGAGGTGGAATTTCAGGATTTCATTTGGAATTTTGAGGAATTTCAGATGGAATTTGGTGGAACTCAGCTGAAGTTTGACTTTTTCAGATGAAATTTGTGACGATTCCTTTGGGATTTTCACTCTTTTCTGCCTCATTTTTCTCCCCCCGTCCCAAAGAATTTTTGGGATTTCATTTTTCCCTTTTTCCTGATATTTTTCCCAGGGATTTTTTATGGATTCAAGGGGCTGCTGCTGCTGCTGGGGATTTTTTTGGCTTATGAGACCAAAAGCGTCTCCACGGAGAAAATCAACGACCACCGGGCTGTGGGCATGGCCATCTACAACGTGGCGGTAAATTCCAGAAAATCCTGGGAAAAATTTGGGGGATTTCCCAAAAAAATAAAAGGGAAAAAAATCAAAAAATTAAAAAAAAAAAATAAAGAAGGAGCTGTGGGGGAGAAAATTAAAAGTGAACATTCAGCTAAAAAGGAAAAAAAGGTGCAAAAATTACAAAAATTATCTGAAAAAAAATCCCCCAAAAAATCCCCACAAAATTGTAAAAAAATTCCCAAAAAATCCCCAACAAGACCATCAAAAATGCAAAAAAAAAAATCAAAATAATCACCAAAAAAATCCTGAAGGAAAAAAAAAAACAAAAACAAAACAAATCCCTAAGCCCCCCCCCCCAAAAAAACCCAAAAACTAAGAACAAAATTCGCTAAAAGCCCCTCAAAAATGAAAAAAAATTCAAAATATTCTCAAAAAAACCACAAAAAGGCCTAAAAATTAAGAAAAACTCCCCAAAAAATCCCCTCAAAACCCCCCAGAATTCCCCGAAAATCCCTGGAATCCCAAACTGGCGGAATTTCAGGTGCTGTGCCTGATCACGGCGCCGGTGACGCTGATCCTCAGCTCGCAGCAGGACGCCGCCTTCGCCTTCGCCTCCCTCGCCGTCGTCTTCTCCTCCTACATCACCCTGGTCGTGCTCTTTGTGCCCAAGGTCGGCTGGAATTCCCAGAAAAATGGGGAAAAAATATGGGAATGGGAAAAAAAATGGGGAAAGAACTGGGAAAAATATGGAAAAGAAAGGGAAAAAAACAGGAAAAAATGGGAAAATATGGAAAAAAAAGGGGAAAAAATCGGAAAAAAGAGGGGGAAATGGGGGGGAAATGCAGAAAAAAATGGGAAAAAATATGGGACTGGGAAAAAGAAAGGGAAATTTTTTGGGAAAATGGGTAAAGATGGGGAAAATGAGGGGAAAAAAGGGGGGGAAGGGGGAAAATGAGGCAATGGGAAAAAAAGAAAAAATGAGGGAACATAGGAAAAATCGGAATAAAGTGGAGGAAAGGGGAAAAAATATAGGGGGGAATTGGGGAAAAAAATGTAAAAACCAGGGAAAATGTCAGGAAAATGAGGGAAAAGGTGGGGGGAGGGGGAAATGGGGAGAAAATGGGGGAAAATATGGGGCAAAAAAGAGGAAAAAAAAAGGAAAAAAATGGGAAAAATACGGGGAAAAAGGGATTTTTTGATGATATTTTTGTATTTTTTTAAACTTTTTTGATAATTTTTTTGGGATTTTTTAGGCAGAATATTTGGGGAATTTTTTTTTTTTTTTTGGGCAATTTTCTTGAATTTTTTGACTTTTTTGGGGGGGATCTTTTTGCAATTTTTTTTTTTTTTTTTGTAACCTTTTGGGATTTTCGGGGGAGTTACTGGGATGTTTTGGAGTTTCTGGAGCCGCTGGGAATTTGGGAATTTGGGAATCCGGGGCAGATGCGGCGGCTGATCACGCGCGGCGAGTGGCAGGCGGAGCAGCAGGACACGATGAAAACGGGATCCTCCACCAACAACAACGAGGAGGAGAAGTCGCGGCTGCTGGAGAAGGAGAACCGCGAGCTGGAGAAGATCATCGCCGAGGTGGGCGGGTCGCTGGGAATTCCGGGATGCAAACCCCTTTTCCTGAAGATTTTCGGGTTGTTTTTCACTCTTTTCCTATTAGTTTTCCCCTTTTCTTGGAATTTTTCTGTTTTTTTAACCCTTTTCCCATTGGTTTTCCCCTTTTCCTGGAATTTTTCTATTTTTTTTTAACCCTTTTCCCATTGGTTTTCCCCTTTTCCTGGAGATTTTCGGGTTGTTTTTCATCCTTTTCCTGCAGTTTTTCCTACATTTCCTGGTATTTCCCCCCTTTTCCTGGTGTTTTTCCTTCTTTTCTAGTTGTTTTTCCCTTTTTCCTGGTGTTTTCCCCAGTGTTTTTTCCATTTTCCCCCTCCTTTTCCTGGTGTTTTTCACCCTTTTCCCATTGTTTCCCCACTTTTCCTGGTGTTTTTTTCATGTATTCCTCATCATTTATTCCTTTTTTCCCCCATCATTACCCCCCAATTTTTTCCTATTTTTCCACCTTTTCCCCCATAATTTCCCACATTTCCCCACCCCTTTATTCCCTATAATTTTTTCCCATAATTTTTCATTTTTCCCACTTTTCCCCCATTTTCATTCCACTTTTTTTCCCCCCTATTATTTCCCTTTTTCCTCATAATTTTCCCCCTTTTTCTCATAATTTTATCCTGTTTTCCCCATTTTTTCTCATAATTTTCCCCATTTTCCCCCCCTCATCCCTGGTAATTTTCCCCACAATTTGCCACTTTTTCCCCTCATTTTTTCCCGTTTTCCCCGTTTTTCCCCCCAGAAGGAAGAGCGCGTCTCGGAGCTCCGCCAGCAGCTCCAGGCCCGGCAGCAGCTCCAGCTCCGCTCCCGCCGCCGCCACTCCCGCGATTCCCAAAATTCCCAGAACTCCCAGAACCACCTGGGGCCCTCCTCCCAGCATTCCCAGATTTCTCAGCATTCCCAGATTTCCCGGGATTCCCAGATTTCCCAGGGGTTCCCCCAGCCCAGCCTGGTTCGCTGCCTGGTGTCGGAGCAGGCGGAGAAGCTCGGCCGCGGGAATTGCGACGGCAGCCGCGTGCACCTCCTCTACAAGTGAGCGGGAATTCCCGGGATTCCGGCCGGGAAAACCACGGAATTCCGGCCGGGAAACTGTGGGATTGTAGCGGGAAAGCTGCTGGAATTCGCGTACAAAAATCCTGGAATTTCTGTGGGAAAAATCCCGGAATTTAGGTGGGAAAACCCCCCAGAATTAGAGCGGAAAAATTCTGGAATTCACGCAGGGAAAATCACGGATTTCTGGCAGAAATATCCCAGAATTCATGTGGAAAAATCCTGGAATTCCCAGCAAAAAGTTCCTGGAATTCAAGCAGAAAAATCCCAGGATTCAGGTGGGAAAGTTGCTGGAATTCAAGCACAAGAATTCCAGAATTTCTGTGGGAAAAGACAAGAATTCAGGCAGGAAAAATCCTGGAATTCACACAGGAGAAGTACAGAATTCTTTCGGAAAAATCCTGGAAGTCCGGTGGATAAATCTTGAAATTTCTGAGGAAAATTCCTGGAATTCACACAGAAAAATCCCAGAATTCATGAATTCATTATAGAAAATCATAGAATTTGTCCAGGAAAATTCCTGGAAATCCTGAGGAAAATAATGTGGGATTTCTGCTGAAAAAATCCTGGAATTCACGCCAAAAAAAAAATTCCCAGAACCCACAGAGAAAATAATGCAATTCCCACCAGAAAATTCCTGGAATTTCTGCCAAAAGATCCTGGAATTCTAGCAGAAAAATCCTGGAATTCCCACAGAAAAATTCCTGGAATTCATGTGGAAAAATTACCAGAATTCCCGCCCAAGTCCACTGGAACTCCATCAGGTTAGAAATGCACTGCACAGAATTCCAAGATAAATTTGGGATAAAAATTCCCAGAAATTCTCCAGAATTCCCGTTTGTCCTTTGGTTATCCCAGAAATACTCCAGAATTCCTGAAATTTATCCCAAAAATCCTCCAGAATTTCCAAATTTTTCCCTAGAATTCCCAATTTCCCCCCAGAATTCCCAATTTTCCTTCAGAATCCCCAACATTTATCCCAAAAATCTCGTAGAATTCCCAAATTTTCCAATCTTGATCCCAAAAATCCTCAGGAACTCCTAGAATTCTCCAAAAAATTCCCTATTTCCCTCAAGAATTCACAACCTTTATCCCAAAAATTCCCCAGAATTCCCAATTCCCCCCCCAAAATTCCCAGTTTTTCCCCAGAATTCCCAATTTTCATCTAAAATCCCCAAATTTCCCCCAGAATACCCAATATATGCCAAAAATCCTCCAGAACTCCCAAATTTCCCTCCAAAATTTATCCCAAAAATCCTCCCAGTATTCCCAAAAAATCCTCCAACCCCCTCCAGGCGAGAAAAATTCCTGGAATTCAGAGGCAAAAAAAAGGGATTTGGGGCCAGGAATTCCCAGAATTTTCTGGGAATTCTTAGTTTGGGGTCTGGGCTCCAGAATTTCCCAAAATTCCCGCGGAAAAATCGGGATCCTGCTGCTCCCCACGGCTCTGAGTGGTTTTTTTGGGGGGAATTTTGGGGGGTGGGAGGGGCTGGGGAGGGAATGGGGGACGGGTGGAAAATTTGGGAAAAATGCCCAGAATTCCTGAAAAATCCCATGGAAATCTTTAAAAAAATCTCTTTAAAAAAAACCCCAAAACTCCTTCAAAAATAAAAAAATCTTCTAAAAATCCTTCAGAATTCTCAAACATTTCCTAAAATCTCCAAATTCTTCCCAAAAAATCTCCAAAATTCCACAAAAACCTCCTTAAAATTAAAAAAAAAAAATCATAAAATCTCTCAGCATTCCAAACATTTCTTCAAAATTCCATAATAGTCCCAAAATATTCCCAAAATTTCTTAAAAATGCCAAAATATACTCCAAATTTTCCCAAATCCCAAAATATTCCCAATTCCCCCCCCCCCCAAATTATAATATATTCCCAAAAAAATCCCCAAAATCCCCAAATGTCCCCCCAAATATTCCCCAAAATTCCCCCCAAATATTCCCCAAAATTCCCCCCAAATCCCCAAAAATTCCCCCCCAAATTCCGCCCGCGGCGTTTCCAGATGTTCGGGGTTCCAAACCCGCGGATTTTATTTGAATTTTTGGGGATTTTTCTGGGAATTTTGGGAATTTTAGCGGTTGGATTTGGCCACACGCTCCAGCTCGTCTTTCTTCTTGATGGCATAGGAATTGGAGGAGCCCTGGAAAAAGGAAAAATGGGGAAAAAATGAGAAAAAAATTGGGAAAAATGGGAAAAAATACAAAAAAATGGGAAAAAAGGGGAAAGTGGAAAAACCCCCACAGCTGTAAAAAGGTAAAAAATAATAATAAAAAAAAAAAACCAGGAAAAATGAGGAAAAAATAGGGAAAAATTCAAAAAATAGAGAAAAAAAAGAGAGAAAAAATAGGAGAAAAAAATGGGGGGAAAAGGAGGAAATATAGAAAAAATGAAGAAAATGGAAAATAAAAAAAACAAAACAGGAGAAAAAAGGGAAAATAGGGGAAAAGAAGGAAAAATTAGGAAAATGGGAAAAACAAAAAATAATCCGCAGGAGGAAAAAGGGAAAAGGGGGTGGAAAGGGGGAAAAAAGGGAAAATAATAAAAAAATAAGTAAAACAGGAAAAAAATGAGGAAAAATTACAAAAAATGGGAGAACATCAGGGAAAATTGGGAAAAATAAGAAAATTGGAGAAAAAAGAGAAATAAGGACGGAAAATGGAAAAAATTTTAAAGAATCACGTAAAATGGGGAACAACAAAAAAAAACTAGAAAAAAGAGAGGAAAAAGAAGGGAAAATGGGGGGGGGAAGGGGGGAAAGAGGAAAAATGGGAAAAAAATGGGGAAAATAAAAAAATAGGGGAGAAATAAAAAAAAAAAAAATTGGGAAAAAAACATCAGCAAAAAAAGGGAAAAGACCCAAGGAAAATGCAAAAAAACAGGGAAAAGGGGAAAAAAGGGGGGGAAGCAGGAGAGGGGATTTGTGGGAATTGTGGGTGGGATTTTGGGTGGAAAGTTGGGAGTTTTGGGTGGGATTTTGGGAATTGTGGGAGCCCCACCTTGGCGGCGTTGATGAGCTCGTCAGCCAAGCACTCGGCGATGGTTTTGATGTTGCGGAAGGCGGCCTCGCGAGCACCCGTGCACAGCAGCCAGATGGCCTGGGAGAAAACGGGAATTCGGGATAGAAACGGGAATTCGGGATAAAAAATGGGGATTCAGGAAAATTTGGGTTAAGAAATGGCGATTTTGGGGGGAAATGGAAAAAAAAGGGGGAAAACATCAGGAAAAAATGAGAACAAATCAGGAAAAAGTGGGGAAAAAAGCGGGGGGGAAGAAGGAAATTTGGGAATGAAGGGAAGTTTGGGAATTTGGGGTACCTGGTTGACCCGGCGCAGCGGGGACACGTCCACGGCCTGGCGGCGCACGGTGCCGGCGCGGCCGATCCGCGTGGAATCCTCGCGCGGCCCCGAGTTGATGATGGCGTTCACCAGGACCTGCAGCGGGTTCTGGGAACAGGGAAAAGGGATGGCGTTGGCAAGGAATTCCCCCCCAAACAAATCTCATCGGAATTCCAGAGAAAATCTGGAAATTTCCATCTGGAAAAAATCTGGAAATATCCATCCCCAAATCACATTATTCCCTAAAATCAAAGTTTCCCCCCATTTTTCCCCCTAAAAACCCCATTTCCCCCCCCAAAACCTCCATTTTTTCCCCAAACCCCCTTTTTTTCCCTGTTTTTTCACCAAATTCCCAGATTTTTCCCCATGTTTTGGGATTGCCCACCTCCCCGGTGAGCAGGTGGATGATCACCAACCCGTGCCCTTTTTAATCTCATTTTTCCACCTAAAAACTCCATTCCCCCACTAAAAACCCCATTTCTGCCCTGCTTTTCCTGGGATTTTCCTATTTCCCCCAGCATTTTCCCCATTTCTCAGGGCTCCCCACCTCCCCGGTGAGCAGGTGGATGATCTCGAAGGCGTGCCCTTTTTAATCTCATTTTTCCCCCTAAAACCCCTATTTTAACCCTATTTTAACCCCATTTTTGCTGGGAATTTTCCCGTTTCCCTGGGATTTTTCCATTTCCCAGGCATTTTCCCCATTTCTCAGGGCTCCCACCTCCCCGGTGAGCAGGTGGATGATCTCGAAGGCGTGCCCTTTTTAATCTCATTTTTCCCCCTAAAAACCCTATTTTAACCCTATTTTAACCCCATTTTTGCTGGGAATTTTCCCATTTTTCCGGGATTTCCCCCATTTTCCCGGGGTTTCCCACCTCCCCGGTGAGCAGGTGGATGATCTCGAAGGCGTGCTTGACGATCCTCACGGTCATCAGCTTCTTGCCGTTGTTGCGGCCGTGCATCATCATGGAGTTGGTGAGGCGCTCCACGATGGGGCACTGCGCCTTGCGGAAGCGCTTGGCCGCGTAGCGCCCGGCCGAGTGCGGCAGGTATTTCGCATATTTCTCCTTCACCGCGATGTAATCCTAAAAAATTCCGGAATTCCAGGATTGGGTTTGTGATTCCGAGCCCAAAACCCCCCCAAAATTCCAGCCCAAATCCCAGGAAAGCGAGAATATTCTTGACCAGGTAATGGCCTGTGGAGTTAAGGAGATGCTTGGGTTGTTTATCCTTCGTGGCAATGTAATCCCAAAAAATTTGGGTATTCTGGGAATTTCAGGATTGGATTTGTGATTCTGAGCCCAAAACCCCGAAAATTCCAGCACAAATCCCACAAAAACTCAGGATTTTTATCTCTGTATCATGACAGGGGAAAAAAATCACCCAGAATTTCCACCTGCAGGAAATTTAACACCAGCCCCAGGATGCCTCTGGAATTCCAGCCCAAAGTTCCCACTGGAATTCTGGGAATTCCAGCCCCAGATTACCATGGAAAAGTGGGAATTCCAGACCCAGATTCCCATGGAAAAGTGGCAATTCCAGCCCCAAATTCCCTCCAGAATTCCAGGAATTTCCACCTGAATTCTCTCCAGAATGCCGGGAACCCCAGCCCCAAATTCTCTCCAGAACTCCAGGAATTCCAGCCCCAGATTCCCCCGGAATTCCAGGAGCCCACCTGCAGGGAGATGTCGTTGATCTGCACGTCGTCCGTGCTCCACTTCCCGAACAATTTGATGTCCGGGGTCTCCGTCACCGCAGGAGCCGTCTCCCAGTCTGTCATGCTGGGGAAAAAACGGGAAAAATGTGGAAAAAAAAAGTGGAAGAAAATGGAAAAAATAATGTTGGAAAATGTGGGGAAAATAAGGGAAAAAGGGGGAAAATGTGGGGAAAAGTAGGAGAAAGTATGGGGGGGAAAATGTGGGGAAAAATAAGAACTGAGGAGAAAAATGTGGAGAAAAAAGTGAGAGAAAGAGGGGAAAATATGTGATAAAAATATGGGGGAAAGGGGAGGAAAAAGTGGGGAAAAAAGAGGGGGAAATGTGGGGAAAAGAAGAAAATATATGGGGGAAAGGGGAGGAAAATGTGGAGAAAAGTGGAGGGAAATGTAGGAAAAAGAGGAAAAATATGGGGGGAAAATGAGGAAAAATGGGGGAAAAGGGGAAAATGTGGGGAAAAAAGTGAGGAAAAGTGGGGAAAAAATGAAGAAAAAAAAAAAAGGAAACATTTTTTCCTCCTCCGAGTAAATTCTTCCCCATTATGGAGCTTTTTTCCATTTCCCCCCCGCTTTTCCTCTTTTCCGGCTCTTATTCCCCCTTTTCCCTTCCCTTTCCCCACTCTAAATCTTATTTTCCCCTCCGCCTTTTCCCCATCCCCCTTTCCCTCCCCAAATCCCAGCAGCCGCACCCCAAACATTCAATTTAAAATTAAACTTTATAAATCCGTGATCGCCGCCCCCCCCCCGCTCCTATCCCCATTTCCCCCCTTTCTCGGCCTTCACCGCCCAAATTCCCACCCCGCTGCCTTCCCCATCCCCATTGCCCCTCCCAAATTCCATTTCTCCCCTCACGATGCTCGTTTTTCCCAGGAAATTCCCGCTTTTCTCTGGAAATTTCCGCTTTTCCCGCGCCCCCCGCCCCCCCTCACATGGCGGCCGCTTCTCCTCCGACCCGGCAAAAGAGCGCTACGGGGCTTCCCGGCCGCTTATATAGGGGGCAGGCTCAGTTCCGGTAACGCATGCGCAGTTTCATTGTACGGCACCGAACTTACACCCTTCCCACCCTCGGTGCGTGATTGGCGCATGCGCCGTGGCGACGTTACGGCCCGGTCGCCATGTTGGTTACGGGAATCCGCCTCAAAGGCCGCCGGGGTTCTTTTAAGGGGCTAAAAACGCGCGCGGAGGTGACAAAGAGGGGACGAAAAGGGGGAAATGAGGGGACAAAAAGGGACAAAAAGGGACACGGAGGCCTGGAGTGACACGCGGAGGGGAAATGGCCGCTTACGCGTGGACGAGGAAGGGGAGAGCACTCATTGGGCGAGGGCGAGGCACACTGACAAATCACAGCTCGCAGTGCGCGTGACGTCAGGGGTTTCTAGGCAGATTTA